GAAACCCACAGGTCGCGGAAATCTTTACAGAAAACCGCAATAACACCACACTTAGGCAAACCCAAAGGCCCACCACAGGAAACAAATACCTACCCCCCCCCCAAGAAAGCCAAAAGGAAACCCACAGGTAGGGGATGTTTTTACGGAAAACCAAAAGGCTACCCACACATGAATGGAACCTTCTTAGAGGCCCCCTCTTTGGCTGATATCCCCCTTTGGGGGGGGGGGGGGGGAATACGGGAAAAACAAAGGCCCACAAACAGGAAATAGATACCTCCCCCCGTGGCTGGAATTTCACAAGAAAGCCAAAAGGAAACACACAGGTCGCGGAAATCTTTACAGAAAACCGCAATAACACCACACTTAGGAAAACCCAAAGGCCCACCACAGGAAACAGATACCTACCCCCCCCCCCAAGAAAGCCAAAAGGAAACCCACGGGTAGGGGAATTGTTTACAGGAAAACTAAAGGGACACCCACACGCAGGCAATGGAACCCCATTTTGCCCCCCCTTTGGCTGATCGCCCCCCCCCCCCCCCCTGTGGAGAAGAACTACGGGAAACCCCCAAGGCCCACAGGAAACAGATACCTATCCCCCCCTTCCCGTGGCTAGTAGCAAGAAAGCCAACCAGAAACCCACAAATAGCGGATTTTCTACCGGAAAATCACAAGGACGCCCACACGTAGGAAATGGAATCCCCTTTTGCCCCCTCTTTGGCTCATCTCCCCCCCTTTGGAGAAAACATCACGAAAAAAACCCAAAGGCCCACCAAATAGATACCTACCTCCCCCTCCCCCAAGAAAGCCAAAAGGAAACCTACAGGCAGGGGAGTTTTTTACGGGAAAACCAAAAGGACACCCACACGTAGGATCGGCCCCCTCTTTGGTTGAAATCCCCCTGTTGGGGGAAGAAATACGAGAAGAACAAAGGCCCGCCACAGGAAATAGATACTGACTGTCTCCAAGCTAAAAGGAAACCCACAGGTAGGGGATTTGTTTGCAGGAAATGGACCCCCCCTTTGGCTGATATTCCCCCCCTTTGGGGGGAAAAAATCGGGAAAACCAAACGGCCCACCAAGGGAAATAGATACCTACCCCCCCCCCTGCCGTGGCTGAAATTTAAAGGAAAGCCAAAAGACCCACACGTAGGAAGCGGATCCCTATTTTGAGAAAACATCGAGCCATTTGAAAGCTCCAACAAGTGTTCCGGATTTTCAACTCTTTCAACATCGGGGTGTGTCTGTTTTGCAGGGCACCCCTTTTTGGTAGGTTTCAAAGAGGAAGAGGAGAAACCACCATTTTGGGGGTTCCCTAAAAAAAAAGAAGCCCCATACCGATGAACGCCAATCCTGACGCCCATCCGTGACGACCGCCAATCTGCGACCAGGTGGCAACGTGGACCCCGTGCTGGCCACAACTTCTTCGGGGTCAGCGGTCAGAATGGCACCCGTGACGAACAAGGTCACCTCAAATTGCTCTCTCGCTGGACAAAAAACATAACTTTGTCCAGTAGTGATAGATTCCCCCTAACAGATTCCCCTAACAGTGGAAAAAACAAGAATGCTCCTAAAAAAATGGGGAAGATTAGGACAACAAAACAAAATATGTTCTCCTTTCGTTTCGGAAGTCCCTGGTCCTGTTAACCAATGGCAGCAAATGCAGGTGCCTGATGTAAAATCTCCACAGACCTTCTGCGTGCCTTGCATCCTTGACCTGACATTCTGCGCGTGCCTAACCCTCGCGGCAAGTTGGCAAGATATCACCACACAATTGGGGAGAAGGGGATGGCGAACGTTTCACCCACGACCCGAATGAAAATTAGCTACCAAAGTGCGGGACATGAAGTTGTGTGGATGTTGGGATTACTTCTATTTTCACAAACTCATTCTTGGATGGAAAGCGAGATCATTGAACTTTGAACTTCAGGGGATGCGGGGGAGGGCTGCCCCCAACTCCATTTGCTTACTCTTCTCCGAAGAAAAGAACATGAACAATTCCACGTGCCACCCCGTTGCCCCAATTCCGTGTTTGGGGTGTTTGGGGTGGGGCCTGATATCTTTGCCCAGTCACAGACAGAAGATGCATCCATCCGAACTCCTCCCCCATCGCCACCGTTCCTTCAGGCGACCAGTTGAAAAACAGAAGCCCAGCTCTCAAGTTGGTTGCGAAGAGCGCAAAGCCATTTGGCTGTGGTTGTCAAAAATAGGGTAATGGGTTGCCCTAGTAGATGGAACCAAGAAACCTGCGGTCTCCATGTGATTTAATTTTGACCCATACCCGTTTCATGACCTTGGAAACTGATGAAATGTCCATGCACAAATCGAATCCAAGAAGTTGTTGTTAACGCGTTAAAACTTCCAATGGCCCAATGTGCAAAGTGTGGACTGAAGCGTTCTGAGCAAAGGTATCAGCGATCTCGTACATCCGGGCGAATCCAACCGGACACAAGGAATCCCCGTATGGAGGCCTGATCATCGTGATCTCGGTTTAGCCCCGGTGAGAAGCGAGGGCTAAAGCTCGTCAAGGCTCAAGAGTCAGAGAAGGGTTGTTGCTTTCCCTAGGTGAAAAGTGCACCAGAAAACACACACACACCAGACATGAAAGTGGCAATGGGCCAAAAAGTTGGCCTTGATGTTCGAGGGAAAGCCAAAAAGGGCTGGTGTATGGAAACCTCCTGTTTGCTCTGAATCGCTCATTGCTTTGAATAGCTGAACCCCTGCTCATTTGCTCATGCCCCAAAACCGGCCAGAGACGCTCCCCACTCAACAGGGATCCTGACAGGCTTCCCAAAACCGAAAACAGTCCAAACCAGGACCTCCAAAAAATATTCGGAGCACCAGGACCCCCCCTTTTCTGCCGCTTCTGGGGTCGGGTCAAAAAAAATCTCTTCGGAGCATCCCAGCGCGGCCACGATGGAGTTCACGCTCTTCAGCGCGGCGACGGAGCCCACATAGGCCCCGGCCAGCACCGCGCAGATGGCGAAGAAGCCGTTGGCGCTGCCGGACAGGCCACGCAGCAGGACCTGGGCACGAGCTTCCACCTTTTGCCGGCAGGGCAGACTTAAACCAAGGGGTGGTCCATTATTTCCAACAGGGGCACCCCTGATTTCAAGTCGATCTTTAGTCAAAAAGTGGAACCCTGCGCTGGCCAAGGCATGCCGTTGGCCTGAAACCTGCCCAGAAGGGAAGAAAAACCGCCGGCTCCCCTTCCAGTTGCTGAAAACAGCTCGCTGGAAAAGATAGAAATATGTCGACCAGTAGTGATAGATTGTCTAGGTCCTCCAGTAGAGAGGTTAGAATAAGGGCACCGTTTCTTTTTTCTGTAGTGTTGTTTGGGGAACCCTCCCTACAAAAAGTTTGCAAAAGAGCACTACTGGCCCTAGGATCACTCTCACCAAGGGCGGGGGGGGGGGGTGAGAATGAGCCAGTTCCTTTCCCCCCCCCGACCAGGCCGTATCATCGCGACTGCGCCCCGCGTTCCCGGAAACTAGCACAGAGGTCTGGGCGAGTTGCCGGTGGTTTCAGGTGTGTCACAAACCGCGCGGCGCCCAAAACCCCTTGGCGTGTTTAGTCAAAGTGGTTTTTAATACGTTTGAAGGCCTAACCAGGCGGTAGAACCTACTAGAAGCATGGCCAGTGAGCTGTCCCCCACCAAATGTGGTTCCAGCTTGACAGGGTTGTCAACATACTTCTGGGGCCGCAACCGCCACCAGTAGGGAGCATGTCACAGACCAAGGTTGCCGAAAAGTACCAACCTACACAAGGGTGCAGCGCATTAGGTCGCACATACAAGGACAAGCAAGCTACAAAAATCGAACCGTTTCCAAGGTCCACAGTCCTCAGTCCTGAACTTAGACCAAGCGGCCCACCTCATATCGCAAGATTGCGGTATCGCCAGGCCATGCCACCGCTGATGCGCTATGAGGCCGAGTGCGACCAGCAACGCGGCACTTCCGGTGATGAAAAAGTAAGGCCAGTCCAATGACTTCAGGTGCCGGTTGGCAGCCATCAGTGTCTTGGCTCGAGTCAGTCAACAGCAAGTGGTTTGGCAATACGTGTGAGGCTCCAATGATACTCTTAAGGGTGGCAAGTTGTTTTTACCCTGTAGACCAACCCTTTCTCCCCCTTGCTCAAACAACCTGAAGATTGGCGAAGTTGGGACCAACTTCGAGTTCAGAGATTCTCCTCAGTAGGGGATATGGGATGAACCCACGAGTCACCTTAAAAGAAAACCACCAGTGATATGGTTTCTTGTCGGGCTACTTTCTTTCTCATCCCCTGAGCAACTTTGTTCTGTATTGATATTCTCGGATCCAGACCCTGTTTCAGGTAGAGCTTTTCGCGCCAGCCTCATCATCTCTACTCTTGGTATGGTAGCAAAAAACTTTGTTTTTTGCAGACCCCCAGTAAAAATGAACAGAACCAAAAACTGAAAAAAAAACTCCAAGAACAGTGAGGTCATTGCTGTTGGCCCCTTTTTTCTCTGAGCCTCACGCGGTGCTCATCAGGGAGCACACCAGGGCCGCCGCGATGCCCTCCGCTGTCTTCAGCCTCGCCTCAGCCTCCATGGGGCAGCTCCGCGGACCGCGCCTACATCGGGCTGCAGCCGAAAGGCGAGCTGCGGAAGGCGCAAACGTATCCTGGAGATACTGTGGATGGCCGAAATCCATGTCGCACCACTTTGAACCCATGGCAAGCCATTGTTTTGGTTGGTATTTACAGGGGAATATTCATTCCAGGGCTTCTTAGGTGGTGCAGGATTTCGTCCATCCACAGTATGGCAATGAGACCATTCGAAGATTCTGAAAGGTTTTTGCATGCAGTGGGTTTACTTGCTTGTTTGTTCGGCGGCCGGTTTGCTTGCTGGCTGGCTGGCTTGCTTGCTTGCTTGCACGCCCCCAAGATGCAAGCACATCAAAGTGCCAATCGCACCCCACCCCAAACCCCACCCCACCCCACCAACCCCCAACCCAAACCCCAAACCCCTCCCAGTTCTCGCGCCTTGGTCACGTAGTTGTCATACTCCTCCATCCCCGCCAGGCTGGTGACACTATCGGCGTCGAAGTCCACCGACGCCACCAGCACGTCGGAGTCCTCCGGACTAAAGGCCACGAAGCCGTCGTTGCTGTCGTACTGCCAGCCGCCGTCGTACCTGGCGTCGCAACGTCGCAACCCAGGTCATCCCATGTCCTCCAGTGGTTTGGAGCCGAATCGGTGGTTTGGAGAGCGGTGGTTGCAACCATGTCATCCAGTGGTTTGGCGCCTGGTGGGTTGGAGCCAGGTGGTGGTAAGTTTATACCTCGTGGGATGGGGTCGCAACCAATGTCATCCGGTGGCTTGAGTCAGCACCATCGCTGGCAAATCCCGTGCTGCACTTGAATACAAGGCGAGTCATAGAGCATATGAGTGGTTTGGAGCCGAATCGGTGGTTTGGAGAAAATTCCGGAGGGGGGATCAAAAAAATCCATCGACCAGGGCGCAATGGTTCAAATCCCCACACCACGAATCCGAAGCGCCAAGTAGGGGTTACCTGACATGGGATGGTTGCTCATTACCTGGTTTGGCATGGTTGCAACCATCCAGTTTGGAGCTTGGTGGTTTCGCCAGCTTCCTCTTTGGTGGCTTGGAGCCGGTGTTCCGGAGATTCACAAATCCATCCGCCCTCAACGTGCAAATCCCAACAACCAAGTAGGGGCCACCTGACCTGGGACAGGTGCTCATGCTGCTCATATCATCCAGCTCTAGACTTGTTTTGTTTTTTTGGGCCCTCGGAGGTGAAGCGATGTTTTTTGGGGACCGGTGGCTTGGAGGTGACGCGATGTTTTCTCACAAGAACCAGGGGGTCAGATCCCCAAACCGTCAATCCAAACCACAAATTCGGATTGCCTGATCACGTCCCGGCCAAAGATACGTGGTCCATGGATAAAGAACACAGGCAACTCCCGCAACCATGGCTCACAACCCCCAGCAGCCTCTCCCCAACGCCCCTGACAAAGCAACCCTCCCCAAATGCCCTCACCAAATCAAAGGCCAAAAAACATTCCGCGCGGATGCCGAGCGGCTTGACGCAAACGAACTGGTCCGCGTTTCCCTCCGCCCAGTTGGCGGCTGAGAACCTGGACCGGATGTCCTGCCCGGAGAACATGATGAAGCCCGTGCCCGTGGCGGTGTCCGTGCAACCTGGCACAAGGCGCGCGCACAAGGCGCACGCGAGGCACACGAGGCGCGACGGGGGACCGCGCGGGGGCGGCCAAAAACGTCTCAATCGGAACACCGAAGCTGGTGTCAAACAGCGCTGTGGCAGGATACCTCCAAAAACCGGATCCTCTAAACCAAAAGTATCCTTCTCGGCACCGGCCGAAACTGCGGGGCACAGGGGTGCTTCAAAGGGCAGCCCTAAGGAGCGGTAACTTGTTGGTGTCCCCGCTGGCTTCCATGAATTAGCCATCCAAAAGGGGCCCCCTATTTTGCCACAGACCCAAATTCAGCTCCCCTCAAATTGGTGATGTGGATGGGTGGAGGTGTTTCGCGGGTGGTTTCCCTACGCGGGCCCAACAAGAACCAGTGGTTACCGGGAAGGAGGCATGGCTGCCCCTTCGCTCGCACACGGGGGGGGGGGGGGAAAAAAACATCCCCACGCCTAACTGGGAACAACGTGGACTTTGCTCCATGCAGCATTCCCCTTGACAGGGAAATGCGTTGGCAAAGTCAAAGGGTTCTTCGGGGCTACCCCTGCCCTTCCAAATCCTGATTTACCAGGATTTGGATCTTCTAAAGCAGTTGGCATTTGTGTGGTTGTGCTTCCCTGGATGCTTTAACAGGCCCTGTTCCATACCTTACCTCGTGATCCAAAGACCAGCCGGCAGCCCCGCACGGCCGGGCCTACCCCGCTATTGATGTTGGTCACAGTGTTGCGGTACCCCCCCAAATAGCAGAGGGAGCTCGGCACGTAGCTGTTCCTCAGCCACCGACTGGCCTGTCCACGAACGAAAACCCCCACCAAAGACAGACGTCTTAAGTCTCGCCCTTGCTAAAAGTCAAGCTCGTCGCAGGATATGTCATAAACCTCGCTCAACTCAAAGCAGCCAAGTCCAAGGAACAGCATGGATGGTACCCGCCAAGTTCAGGGTGGAATGCATCTCTCACTCACTCTCTCTCTCTCTCTCTCTCTCTCTCTCTCTCTGTCCACCAGTAGACTTCGTAAACCCGTTTTCTTTTTTCTTCTTCAAGTGAAACCCGCCATGTTGCTTGCTCCCAGCGATGTTTTCGCCTGCAAAACACCAAAAGCCTTCAGTCCAGGGCGCTCCCCATACGCGCTCCCAAAGAGGTCTGCGCTGCTGCGCACGGTGCAGGTGACCCCCTCCCCTCGGCAGGTCACCGCCTTGCAGCTGCTGGAGCCCAGCGACTTGCCTGGAGCAAACCTCTCCTCACTCTTGGGTGGTTTCCTCCAATACGATATTTGAGCGTGTCTTTTTTTGAGAGCCCCCCGTTTTGGTTGGCCTTTATTGGGATGGTCCCGTAAAAACGACATACCGACATACCCATTGTCTTGCTGTGTAAGAAGTAGGGAAGGTGGGAATGAACCCAGGGGTAGGGATGGTTTATAGGTGTCATTCCAACTCATTCCCTGAGCACCTGCAAGTTTTTGTTGTAAATAGTCAAGGGCTGTTCCTCTGCAATTATTCCTCCAAATACGGCACTAGTTTCGAGTCTTTTGGGCAAGTGGGACTGCAATTCATTCACGGGAGCCAGGCATCTGCCTTCATGTTGACGCCGGATTGATAAACCTCTCCCATGAACACGGGCTGAAACTGAACACCCTATTCACCAACCAGGGTTCACCCTCCCAAAACAAGCATGCAACCCGCACAGGCACCGGTCCCGGTTCCAGGAAAAGGGCGGTGCAGGTTTTTCTGCTTGGGTTTCTTTGGCCACAGATCTCATCCGTCCAGGCGCACTTCTCCTTGGCGCCGTACAGGTCAAAGACCTCCTCCAGGCCGCTGGCGAAGCCTGGGGAGTACACCCCGGGGATCTCGTCCCAGGAGCAGAGCTGCGTCCTCGCTGCGGGCACGCGGACGCGCAGGCCCGCAGGCCGGGCTGCCGCCGGCCGGGTCCCGGCGGAAAGCAGAAAAAAAACTCCGGGGGGAACACAGGCAGAATGCCATTCGTCTAGGTCCTCCAGATTTGAGAGGTTAGAATAAGAGTACAAACTTTTTTCTGTAATCTACATAACACCTGCTGTCCTCACTTCATTCAACTTCCAAACTTCAAAGCCCCCCCCCCCGCACCCATCCCGCCTTTTTTGGCACGCCTAGAACTGCAAATCTTAAATTATTCGAAGACAGGGAAGAGTTCCAACAAACAATCTGCGAATCTTATGGTTTCCAAACACCTGACATTTGACTTGGATCCGCAGGCAAAGATGGTAAAGGACCTCAGGAGTGATCATCAACAATCTGCAGATCTAATAAAGAAAAACCTAAAGACAAGGACCTGGAAAGGAACTGGACTTTCCGGTAAAGATGGTGAACTGCCTTCACCATGGTGAGCTCGTTTTACCTCCACGTGAGCTTGACGTAAAACAATCAGGGCGATGCCGCTTGATTTCGTTCCTCCTTTTGCTGCAAGTGCCCGAGTTTGGCCTTGCTTTCGCACTACCAGCGGCTGCTGCACTGCTGCAAATTGACAGGGAATCCCACAAAAATGAGGAGCCCCCTCTGTGGAACCCGCTGTTGGGTTCCGTCACCCGTAGTCTTCCTTTGGGCAAACACGCGCACACACACACACACACACGTGTTAGTTTGAAGGGGGCATGTATTTATACACCAAAAATTGTGTAGAGCGAGGCTCGTGGTGGACTGAGTGGTGGTGCTGGTGGAGACTGTCACTGTGGTCGCTGTGACGGTGATGGAGGTCGAGGTGGTGGTCGTGGAGGTGTCGATGTGCTGGCCGATGATGATGGAGTCGTCCGGTTCGGAGGCGCCTCCCGCCGTTGATTTCTTTGACTCGGTTGCACACTCTGCTCCCCTGCTAAAGTTGACCAACTTTTAGTGGTTTAATACGGAAAACCCGTCAGTTGGCAAAAAGTTCAAGTCCTAACATCCAAGCAAAATGCACCAAATTTGAGTTCTTTGGATGTCGCGGATTCTTTTGGATGTTTCACAGCGACAGAAGCAAATTGGAGCACCCTCTACCCTTCTTGTTGGCCGCATAATCCGCGGACTTCTTGTGGGCCAGGCGGCCCCCAGCCATTAGCACGAAACCAAAACCAGCGGCCCGCGGCCTTGCTTCAGCCACATCATTAGGGTGTAGGAGTTGGAGTTCAGATTCAAGCTGGACTGCACCCCCATGTCATAGGGGAGGGTGGCCGACACGGTCTCCGGGTATGCCCACACCGGTACATTCGCGGAGGTCACATCACAAATGAAGTCCTTGCGCGTGCCAAGGGGGCCATCAGAGTCGTTCAAAGAAACAGGGCAGCACCCAAACCAGGCAGAACCGAGTGTTGCTCTTCCAGGCGCTTCGGCTAAACACCTGCACCAAACTAGAAAGCTTGCTGGCGCGATAGGTAGGGAATGAGGGATTGAACCCCGGGGATTCCCGAAGAAAGGAAACCACCAGTTGTCCCCACAGCGCCCATGGGGTTTTCCGCCCGGGCGTGGCGCCCAGAAAACCACTTCTTGTGTCGATGATCTAACCCCTACATCCCCAAGACCAGCCAAAGCCGCGCAGCGCGTTGACCCAAGGGGTCACCCTGATTCATAAGGGTTGCTCCATTTGGGTGCGGCTCAAAATTAAAGAGCTGGGGTTACGCGGGGTTTAGTCTTTGGTTCCATTTACCAAGGTGCCATTGTGGTACCACTTGTTTGAGCCACAGCCATTTCTCCTTCCCTGCATCTCTCGCCCGAGCAACAAGGAATGCAAAACGTGGGGCCTACGAGGACTGCACGGGAATCCCGATCAGTAGCTCCTTTTTGGACGCAAACTTAGCGAGACCCCCAGCTCCGGACTCGTCCGGCCCCCTTCCAACCGGCTAGCCTAGCTCGGGAAGGTTGCCCCTTCTCCGTTGACCGCTGATTTCTGTGGCTATCTCGGGTGTGGGTCAGAAATAGGTACCCCACATGCGACCCTGGAAAATGCAAACAGAGACTAAAACCTGTGGTGCCCGGATGACTCATGCCCACTTATCTTATAGATCCAACCCAACACCTGAAGGCTTCTAAGCGTCGATCGACTGAAGGAGGATGATGGACGAGGACTCCTGGATCGCCAGCACGTCACCTGAGATTCAAAGGCTTCGGCCTTCCAAGGAAAAGAAATGCTGCGAGGGGGTTTTCCCGCTACCAGTCATCATCCCACGTCTACTTGAAACCGAGTCGACAGCGCACCCCTTTGTTCGCACCTCAAACTAAGGCCGAATCAAAATTCTCTGGCGGACTGACGAGGGCTTCCACGTTGAGTCGCCAGCCGGGATGCCACAGCTCGTATTTCCTGTTGACCCAAAGCGAGTAGTGGGGCTTGCAAGTCCTCTCCCCGGACCGCGCTTGCTCAGCGGCCTGATCCCTGACTCAGCTCATCATATTTTTTCAAATGGGTCCCCCCAAATCCACCCCCCCAAATCCCCCAGATTTCTATAAACCCAAAAAAAAGCGGGAGCCCAAGTGACTGACAGCTCAGCCTCTCGACCTGAAACCTCGTCCCAAGATCCTAGCCGCCTTGGCATCCGGCAGGCATCCCATTTCCGAGGCTTCCCGCGGCCATTTCTGCACAATCCTTGCTGGAAGTTCGGCCCTTGCCTGTGGCGTATCCCTTGCCTGTGGCGTATGTCCCGGCGTATGTCCAGCGCTACGAAGAGCTCGTCAGCTGGTTGGCTTGCTTGCTACTCACGTAGTCAGCTAGTTTTTTTTGGTCCCTGTGTGCCATGTAGGTTGCTGCCGTTTCGCTTTGGGATTCCCCGAACTCAGGAGAAACCGGGCACCTAAAGCGAGTAGAGGGAGTTTAGCCCTGGCAGCTTTCTTCTGTGCTGAAACTTTGCCACCCAAAAGAAAAGCAAAAAGAAGCTTCCAAGATGTGTTGCTTTTGATTTAATCATATACATACATATAAACAGGTAAACCACTGAAGCTTCCATTATCTAAATAAACCCCCTTCACCACATTCATGTTATTTATTTATTATTATTATTTTTTATTATATAAAAAAAAAAAAAAAAAAAAAAAAAAAAAAAAAAAAAAAAAAAACACGCCGCCTGTGTTGAAGCTGAGCTCCACCGTCTGGGAGACCGTGTTGGCGGAGGCCGTGCCCTTCACCTGCGAGAGCTAGCTTGGGCTCTGAGGCCGCAGGCGCACTTGGACCAAATTGGGTGGATCTTGTCGCTGCCCTTGGCCTGGTTGGGAGATGAGGAAAGAATAAAAGCCAGAGGTAGAAGCCTTTGGAGGGAAGAACGAGGGCACCCGCCCCCATTTCAGAAACTTCCGCGCCCGCCTGGTCGTTCATCTTTACGCTCACCGTGCCAGTGGAGTCGCTCCCATAAGTCACTGCCTGGGCGTGTCGATGAAAACCGCAACCTCAAGAAGCACGCCAACCTCCACTGGTTCTTTTTAGGGTTCCTTTTGGGTTGGTTTCAACCGAAAACCACAAAAACAAACAAGAATTGGGGGGTCCCCTAAAAAGGACACCCCCATATATATATATATATATATATGTGCAACTGGTCCCTTTCAAACCAACCAAAACACTGCCGGCTCCGAAAAGGCGTTCCCTCTAAAACGAAACGCCCAGTAGGTCAAATTGGGCCAACCGGACTTGGACGGCCTAGAGGCAGTGCTCAAACCTTATTCAAGGGGCGCTTCACGGGTCAAACAATCACGCCAAGCCTGGCATTGAACAGTTCACCCTGGGTCGAACCAGAAATTCACAGCCGGGTATTGGTGTTTGGCCGGTCCAAAAGTGAGCGTTCCGCCCTTTGCCACGAAGGAAGAAGCCTTTCTTGACCCCTCCAAAAAAGGAAAGAATGCGGCCACATGCCGACACGACTTCAGGTTGGTTGTAGGTTCTAGTGGGAGCCTAGGACTACAAAACTCCGGGTTGATTGATAATGTTGGGGCGGCGTCCCCTTATAGAGGGGAACCTTCACTTTTTTGGGAAGACCCCGAAGAATCCACGAGGTTGATACTAGCATGGGGTCAAAGAAAGCAGCAAATCGAGGACGCCCATCTCCTCATTCCCCTTTCAGTTGCCTTCAAGTTGAAAATGAAAACAAGTCACAGCAAAGGCCAGGTGACCACCGGCCTGCATTTCGGACCCGAAAGGCTGAACGAGGGTCAGATTTGAGTAGGGCGGGACAGGGTTGTGGGATCTTTTGCTGTATCCAGAGAGGTTGATTCCTGTCCAAACGTGTTAATTAGCCAGCCAGCTCACTTCGTCAATCAGCTACTTAGCTAGCCAATTTGTCAGCCAAGTCGCCAGCCAATTAGTCGGTCCCTTCGTCAGTCCGTTAAAAATTGGACCTCGTTTTGTGGGTTGAGCAGTTACCGTGGATGCCACGAGTTTTGCATCTGGTGGACTAACTCTATGACTGTTGTGCGAATCCAAGATGGACTAACCATGTTGGTTTTTATTTGGCGAAGTTCACATGCTCAAGTTTCTGCACCGTACCCAGCAGCCCCCCTTTCCTCCCCCTGCATCCAGAGCTCCACCACGCCGCTCCCGGCCAGCTGTATCGACACCGCGCCGTCCCCGGAGGAGGAGGAGCCGCGGTAGGCGCTGGGGTAGGTGCCGGAGGCGTCCCACAGGCTGCTGTCGTCCCAGCTGAAGACCCAACCGGCCTACCGCCGCGCGCTCCGAAGGCCGGAAGGCGCGGGAGGCGTGGGAAAGGTGGCGCTCGGAAGGCAGCGGGAACCGAAGGCCAGCGGCTTTGGCATCCGCAAATTCGGCGGGACCAAAAAACAACCGGAAGAGGCTTTTAACGCGGCACCGCAACTTCGGGGTCAGTTCGCATCCGACATTCGGAGTGCCCAACAGCTTCGGGAACGAGCGCCCCCGGGAACCGCCAGAAAGAGTCCAAAACGGCGGACCCTGAACAAGTGGCTGTGGGTCAAACATGCGCACCCGAAATGGAACCCTGGCAAATGGAAAAGTAGACTAAAACCTGCGTACCCCCCAGGTCTTGAATGTTGAGCCACACCCAAGTTGGAGGAGCTCTTCGGCTCCTCAAACCCACGCTGGTTGCTGGAGGTGGGTTGCTCAAACCCATTCTTGGGGGGAAGCGGAAGCCCCCCACAAGCCACCTCCAGCTGAAAAACAAGAGGAGAATGCAAGGGGCGGCCTTGACCATGTCAGCTTGACTGGTGAAGCTCTTCACCGAGTCTGATCCTCCGCACATCTGGTAGTACCTCAGCACGCCATGGATTGCACTCAAGGGCGCAAACCCGGAGCCAATACACCGATTGAGTATACGAAGATTATAGTATGACTATAGAGACAAATAAAGGCACATACTTTACTATGACTATAGCAAAACAGATAACAGAGGCTATAGTGTGACTGTGCCCAACATCGAACTTTGGTGATTGAACGTTGTTGCCCCAAGAAAATGCAACGGTACTCCAGTTGCTCAGATTAAGTTTGGGGTGTATGGAGGCCCCCAAGCATCATCTGAGGCCTCCCTGCGGTTGCATCCCACAACGAACTCAGCCTTTCTGTGAATACCACAGTGGGACATCCCATTTATCTACTTCTGAATGCTAGAACCATGAGCAATGGTGAGCTTGTGCCATCCACCTTCAGCCAAGGGGGGAGGTTGGGGCTGGGAGGGGCTGGGGTTGGGGCTGGGGTTGGGGCTGGGGTTGGGGCTGGGGTTGGGGCTGGGGTTGGGGCTGGGGCTGGGGCTGGGGTTGGGGCTGGGCTTCGTTCCTGTCGCCGGGCCGCCACCCCGCAGAGCTGCCCGCACGGCGGCGATGCGTTCCGCAGACGCCCCAGGAGAGCAGCAGGCCTCTCCGTCCGAACCAACACCGGCAGTGGCCCAAGAGTGGCTTTCTGGGGGTTGATTCTAGGGACCCAGCTGCGCGGCTGACCGAAAATGAGGTTCCGGTTGACAATCTTTAGATAGAAGCTGTCAAATACCATATGTCTAGAGGTTGATTCCTTTTCCATTCTTTTCAACCATGGCTCCTTTCAAAGACCAGCGGTTTCCCCTTGGATTCTGCTGGCTTTCTGAAAAGAAGGATCCCTGGAAAGAATGGGGAAGTGTCCCTAGAGGCTTCGGATTTTTAGGCGGGTTTCCCTTTTTGAGACCCTGAAACAGCAGTAGCTTAGGAGAAACTTGGGAGTCCTGGAGGTGTCCCAGAAAGCAAATCCGGATCACTGTACTAAGCAGAACCCCTGGTTGAGGTTGATTTTGATCGGGGGGTGTCCAATTCCTTTTCATGGTTGGATTCAGACCACTTTTGGAGGGAAACCACCCCCTAATAATGGGACGCGTTAAAAAAAAAAAAAATGGTCAACATTAACACCCTTAAAAACGAGTAGCTTAGGAATAACTTACGAGTCCTGGAGGTGTCCCGGAAAAAATTCGGATCACTGTACACCCCTTGGGTCAGGGCCCCGGTTTCGAAGTGGGGAGGCCGGAGCATTCCCTTCGAACCATGTACCTTCCTCCCGAAAGATTGCATCCAAAACCCTTTGAAAAAGCTACGGTAAAGCTCGTTCATTCGGCTACCGTGCATCCTTGAAGCAACCCGGCTCAAGCTAAGTCTACGTGCTTATCTGGAAAACCCTCCCATATCCCCTCCCGAACTTCCCGGCTCACCAATTTCTCTGAAAGGATGCCATTGGAGAGTTAACCCTGGTCGACGTGTGGTAGGATGTCCAACCCTAAACCCACAATCTACATATCTTCGAGTCATCATGCTGGCCAAGGGCGAAGATACAACTAGGTCCTCCAGTAGAGAGGTAAGAATAAGGGCACCGTTTCTTTTATCTCCAGTCTATTTTAGTAGGGCAACCCTCCCAACCAAAAAAGAATCGGTACAAGGGCACCAAGCTGGGGGACCTAGGCAACGATGTCACTAAACATTCGCCCAGCATCCAGGGCCTGGGAATCGGGTTCCCCAACCGGCTCAGGGGCCAAAAAATTGGACCCACTTCTGGCGGATCCCGATACCCCCCGCAAAGCTCTCAAGATGAAGCCCTGGCACCATCGGCCCAAAACCAGGTGGGTGCAAATGTCTGGCCCAAGTTTAGACCCGTGGGGTGACCAGGGCTCAAAAACCACCAAGAACATGACTTTCCAATTTGCATGGAAGAAGTTAGCCATGGCCCTTTGGATGCCATGAATGTTGATCAACGCCCATGTCCTGAAACCTCCGGGTTCTGCCGCCGCGCCTAAAAAGTACAATGGCCGATGGCACATGGCCGCGCCGAAAATGGCCTGGGCCTCGGTCGCTCAGTCGCTCAGGTCTCTGCCCGGCAGGCCCCGGACGTCGTGTTCCGAGCGCGGCAGCTCAAAGCAGCCAAGAAGGAAAGGACTTCCTTTCCATGTTCTGACCGAACATGGAAATTCCATAGATCAGGTGTTCCAAACTGGAAACTTAGCGGCCCAACGAAATACATTAAAGCGCTGTGCTGTGTTTCTCAGCATGTGCTAAGATCGGATCGATGATTGACAAATCGACCAAGGTCAAGGGTCAAAGGAGTCATGCGCGTTTTCGGTGTCAATTGGCCCCAGAATTCCCTGAAATGGTTCACCCACTGGAAAAACATGAAGCGCCTAGCGGTCATGGCATGCCCCCTTCGTGGAGGAACAAAAACACCAGCGATGGTAGATACGCACTTCCTGAAGGTGGCCGTGGATTCTCTTTTGGCTTCCCTTTAACTTCAAACCAAGGTGCGAAGGGCAGCCGCAGGAAACAATGAGTTTGCATGCACCAATGGGTAGACTTCACATTCGGAGACTAGACTTCAACCTGGAAATTGGTGGGCCACCAATTGGGAGTCCATGTGCCAACTGGCTGTTGCTCACCATATGTGAGTTTATATACATATATATATATATATATAGATACTCTGCCCCCGCACCCAGCAGACAAAATCAACCAACCAACCAACCAACCAACCAACCAACCAACCAACAAACCAACCGGCGGACGAACGAACGAACCAACGAACGAACGAACGAACCAACGAACGAACGAGCAAACAAACAAACAAACAAGCAGGCAAGCAAACAAGCAAAACAAAAGCACAAACCAGTGGGCGAACGAACAAACGAACGAAAAAACAAACAAACAAAGAAACAAAGAAACAAAAAAACAACAAAAAACATAAGCAAACAAACAAACAAAAAAGAGGATGAACGAAGAACCGAACGAACAAACAAACAAGCAAACAAGCGAGCAAGCAAGCAAACAAGCAAACAAACAAACATAGCAACAAACAAACAAACAAACAAACATAGCAACAAACAAACAAACAAACAAACAAACAAACAAACAAACAAACAAGCAAGCAAGCAAACAAACAAACAAACAAACGGGGCCTTGTTAAAACGTCCATCCGACAAGAAGTCAAATGTTCATGACCACTCGCTGACAAGCTCGCTGACAGCTGAGGCGCGGGCTGGCAAATGGGTTGCCCATTTGGCAACCTGGGCTGCAGCCGGTGTCTCGAAATAGGGGGGGATTCAAAAATGGCTATGTGCTTCGGAGGTCCCTTTAGAAACTCTGAGACTCGCAAAGGCTTCGGTGCTTGGAAGTTTGGGCGCTCAGAGGCTTAGGCAGGCTCCTGTTGAAATTGGACCTGCAATGCAATGCACACAAGATATGCTCTTATGGAAACCCTGAGCGTGCGGCCCGCTCAGGATAGTATTAACTGGTGGGGTGGAACACCCATTGAGCCGACGGCTGCCAGGCACAAAAAGCAAGGCAGCTTCAGCTTTGGATGTTTTGGGTGACCCGTTGAATGGGTTCTAACGTATGAGCTCCTTTCGGATGCTACATGATCCTCCCTTGCAAGCGACCGGACCCCCCGCCTCTTAGAACCCAAAGAATGGGTCCTAAGAAAATTTGAGAAACAAAAAGGCTCCCTTGGCTTGTCTGGAAACAGGAATTCAAAACGCCTCCCGGCGTCCTTTTGGCTTACCGAACAAATTCAACCCAACAAAATTGCCAGGAGAACCCCCCCCCCGGCCATGAAAGTGCACAGCCCAAAGTGCAGATTCCGCCACCAGAAATGTAGCCCAGGATATGCCCTTAGCTCTTCATCAGGCTGTCGAGCCACCCCATAGGCTTCCACTTCCAAGCAATTCCCACGGTAGCCGCATGCTTCCCTTACTTGCCCTTTAGGGACCTGAAAATAAGAGGCGATCAACTTTTCGGGCCCTGACCGAACATGGAAACCGAGGCAAAACCAAATCGTCTGCCGTTCCCCGCTGTTCAGGCCGCAGGTTCAACCGGTCGCTTCCCCCCAGCTTTGTCTTTTCCTCCGCTCGGCCTCTCGTCGGGGTGGAGCCGTCGACTCGACGAAGCATTTCTTGGGCCAGAATCCCCATTCTCGTCAATAACCCATCCTCGTCAATTGAAGAAAACTGCTCAGCGATTCCTCCAGCTTCTCGCAGTGGAAAGGAGCATCCCCACAGAGCCCCCTTGTTGATCCCTGGAAAGAACGGGGAAGCCGGAACGGAGATCGATTTGTGCAGCTCGCAGCTAGACCTTCGGTGGATTTTCCACGGAAAAAGAGGCCGCCCTTCTTGTGGTGCTTCATTCTAAAGCCCAATCCCTCAAAATGAACAAGAACATACGAGAAGGCCCCTTAAAAAACAAAAGCATCACTCGGAAAAGAAAAAAAGCAAGGGCCCTCAACAAACACGAGGGAAACCAAAACACTACGTGAGAAGGCAAGGCCTTCTAACAAAACAACAGGGGGCGGCACCTCACTGGAGCTTTCGCTTTGAGCGTTGAGCTGCGTCGGCGCGTCTCAGGCGCCTCTTCTTTCGAACTCGGCGCGTCTCAGGCGCCCTCGACCTCGACGGCGCTTTCGGGCGCCTCCGCCTTCGCGACAGACCGACGCGAGCGACACCACTTGTGGCTTGGGTTGAGCTGCTGGATGGGTCAAAGGAGACTTTTGGGTCAAAAGGACACCAGCATACGCTTCGATATATGCCGACCCCGGGTTTTATATAAAGTGTCCACAATAAAATCCAAAAAACACCTCTTATCGACCACCCGAGACTTGGACTTGATTTGGCGATTCCCCTACGTCTCGGCCAACGTGAAGCTCCAAGGGCTCGCCAAAGGGCTTCCGATAACAAGTCACGACGGGCGGCTCAACCGGCTAAACAGGCGTCACCCTGAAAGCTCGAACTCACCCAAAACACAAGGGCGACCAAAATGTCTGACGTGCTGCTTCTTGGTACAACCAGGTCATTGCACCCATTGAAACGATAAAACCGCCAAACCGTGACCGTTTCCGCCGAAGTGACAAACGGCGTGGCCGGAAGGCGCTTTAGGGACACAGACCTGCGGAAATCCGCGACTTCGAAATCGCCTCTTGTCGAAGGTTGGCCCCAGAATGGCCGGAACAAGCGCTTGCTTGTTTTTTGGGAGGGGATTCAACCATCCAATTCTTGGCTTGCCCGGGGGAGGTGATCTGGGGAAGTGATTTGCAGGGCATCGAATCATTCCGTTGGGTCTCTGCACGGTGCGAGAAGCCGTTTTCCTCCATTCACCTTTCTTTTCCAAGGCTTGACCCAAGGGATTCCCAAGCAAAAGGGCCCACGGACCCTTTGCTCAGATCACCCATGAGCTCGAAACCTTGCCACTTCCGCGGCTTGAAGTTGGATGGGCGAGAAGCGGAAAGCGGGGCCCCGGGTTTTACCCCCAGGTGTTGGTGGCTTGGAGGTTGGGTACTTGGGAACTGTGGCAGCCAAAGGGGCATCTGATATTCTAAACAGACCTAAGAGACATAACCTGCGAAATACTGACTCACCGTGCCCAACCAGAAGAAACCATCGAAGGCGCCCTATCTGGGCGACGTCGCCCGCCCGGAACAACGTCGCCATGTTTTGCCAAAGTATGAAAAAAAAGCAGGAACCATAAGCAAAGAAGGCAACAAGAGCATTCTGCAAAAAGAGCGGGATGGCACCCATCCGCAACCCACACCACCCCCTGCCTTCTCCGCCGGGTGTTGCGACCTGCGCTTCAGCAGGTATGGCCTGGGGGCCCTGGTTCGCAGAGGGCAAAAATCTTGGCTGCGCAAGGAGCCCATGGAATTGCTCGTGCTCCCTCCAGTAGGCCAAGAAACGTGTTGCTGGCACCCTCAAAACTCGGTTGCTTTCTGCTCCCCTGCTAAAAGTTGACAACTTTTGGTGGGTTTAAGGGAAACCCATTAGTTGGCAAAAAGATAAAGTCCTAACACCCCTTGCAACAAAGAAAAAGAAGCACAGCCCCAGAAACGAGCACCCTGCGCCGCCTGCCCCCCACCGCTCATGAGGCCGGGGCAGTGACGCCATACGGCTCTGGATCGTCTGCGCCATGCCCTGGTACCTGCACCGACAGGATCCCCGTCCCGCCTAATGTTCACCCCGGATCTAAGTAGAACCCCTGGTTGACTTTGATTGGGGGTGTCCCCAATTATTTTAGTGGGGTTGTATCACTTTTGGAGGAACACCCCCCTAATAGTGGGACGGGTTCATTAATCCTGGTCAACATTATGCCCTCTTCTCGCTTGTCCACTGTGCTAGAGCGAGGTACGGTCAAGATACGGTCTGTCGGCTTGAGCGTGAGGACTCACAAAGCTTCGCACAAAAACGGAGGGGCTCATTGATTTCCCCTATATTCAGTCTGTGAACCGCATACTTTGACCGTGGCTCGCCCTCCCTTCAACCCTCAACTTCAGGTCAATTTGAGGGGAACTCTCCCCGATCGTTTGCGTGGCGAAAAATGAAGGCTGCCTCTCGCGGCTGGCGTCGGAGAGGTTCTTGTCTGAGAGGCGTTGCAAAATGACCTCGCCAGCATGCCTAAGGCCCTGGGAACATGAACATGCAGTCATGTTCATGTTCATTTGCACAAGACTTCTAAGGGCTACTTGACAACAAAGGCGCTCCTTTTCAGGATTGTAGGAAATGACCGCTGCTGTACAACAAAAGGGGCTTCCCAAAGACTAACCCCCCACTTGTATCACAGGGATGGTTGGAGAAGCCCCTTGTGATCAACCACAACCAGCATGCCATGGGTCTTCCTTTGGTTTCTGCAAAGACGATCTCACAAGGTCACTTCTTCACATGTGCTGGGCGCGGCCCAACAGCAGCCCCCCTGGAACTGGTGGAATCTGATTCCCTTCTGAAAGAAACCAACAGGATCTGGGTGAATTATGATAATTTCACCAGCCTGAAATAAGGTGGTTTGGGGGCTATTCCCCACATAAACCACCATTTGGGCGAGGTCGTGTGAGGGCGTCATTATTCACCCAAATGACGTCCTCGGGCATTCCAAAAGGGAAACTTAGACATTTTGGGAAACCCCGCGCTCGGTCCTTATAATTCACCCAGAAAAGGAGCAAAATGGATACCGCGTCGATAAAATTCGCCTGGAGCTTTTGGGTCATCTCCGCCAGAAGCTCAAGCTTCTTCTGGTGCGCCTCCTGCGCTCGCGACGGCCAGCTGGGGCCGGCGGGGCCTTTCAGCTGTGAAGCTAAGCAGCCCCTTAAAACCTGGGAGAAAAAGAAGAAGAAAAAAAACAGATCTGGTGATGCTGTGGGAAAAAGGGAAGGGAAAAAAAGAATGCGGAGAATGGAACTTCCCAGCCGCAGCGAAATGGTTGCCAGTAACCCGAAACTGTCGCTCCCGCCGAATTTGCTCCACGAAGCACCGGCGTGTGACTAGCTACAGTTCTCAAGACCCGTGCGTGCGTGCCACCATTCCCAGTGAGTTGTGTGCGTGGGCAGACTGGAATCGGTGTACATGATAAGCACGGCCTAGCTTGTGGCTATACCTGCAAAAGCGCCTGTGCAAAAAGCTGAACTTGGTGGCTAGTGGGAAAATACACATTTTCCCAACAAAAATGTGGTTGTGGCCAGGTCCCACCCGCCCTTCCGCCCAAACCCCCGGGTCCTCCGCCTTCTTGTCTGCCGCAACTGGGGCACAAGCATGGCAGTGGGCTTTTTGAAGGGGGTCCCCTTTGTGTTGCCCCCCCCCCCCGAACTCCGCTCACCACAACAAACTCGCGAGGATGAAATTGTCGGAGGTCGACGCCGACGTGTTCAGAAGTGAAACCCACAGGTTTTGGTTGCTTCCTCCCACCACTTTCGAAGGCTAAGACTGATGTCACCAGGCGTTGACCTAGAATCTTTGCATAGCCTTCCCTTGCCCAAACTCCGCTTGATCTAGTTGGCTAAGTGGCAAACTCCTTGTAAAACCCTGCAACCATTGCAGCCAGTAACTTAAGCCCCCTGGACAAAATAACAAATATATATATATATATATATCCAGTAGTGATAGATTCCCTTTAAAACCAATGTTGCAGAAGAAGAAGAAAAAGTACTCTTAAGCAAATGGAAGATTGCTAGCCTCTTCACCCTGGATTGATATAAAACTTCCTGCTGATAAGAGGGCAGCTTGATGCACCTGGACGCAGGGCCCAACCATTCAGCTTCCCTCGGGTGGCTTCGATTGTGAGGTCGGGGGGTTTCCCAACCCATCCTTCACAAGAACCAGCCCAAATTCTCAAAGAAATCCCAAGCAGCTGGCGACCTGTTTGCCAGCGCAGGTAGCAAACACGGATGGAAAAACTGAACAGCAGCGCCTCTTTCGGGATCCAGTGGGCTCTCCACTGGCCCTGGCCAACAGGCGAGGGTTGCACCCCGTCACGCTCTTGGCCGGTGAGAACAGGTGACTTTCCTTGAATTCATGACCCAAAAAACAGCATCTTGAAACCATGCAAACTCGAGCGGCGGTTCCTCTAAGCGTCTTTGGGCGTCTTTGGGCACCCTCAAGCTGCCCTTGCCTGAAACCGGGGGAAAGTGCGCCGAGAGCGAAAATGCCTGGGAGGGGGGGGGGGGGAGATTGGGGTCTCCCAGTTCCATTCCGGTCTTCCCCATCAACACAGACACCACACACCCCTCTCCCAATGCCACTCATCAGGGCGTCACGACTCAAGGGGCTCAGTGGGGCTATTAAAATGACATCTTCAAAATTTCACTCTGAATGAACTCCAAGGGAAACCTCCAAAGTGATGTTCGCTTTTGACGGTGAATTGTCTTGCTGATAGGCACCAGAAAGAGAGAAATGGAATGAGACATCGGAAAAAAAAAAAAAAAAAAAAAAAAAAAAAAAAAACCAAAAAAAAAAAAAAAAAAAAAAAAACCTTACAACTGGGTGGTTTCCTGGGGAAGCCCTGGGCTCCTTTTCCCACCTTCCCTATCGCACCGATCGCAAGCTGAAGGCAGTTGCAGCCCCCATCCAAAGTCCAAAAGGCCGGCGGCACATTGCCCGGTGTTGGGCCTAGGAACTCGCGACGCGAAGGGCGAAGGTCCCCGGCGTTTGCCCCGGGAACGATTTTTGCTGTTGGACGCTCTTTCGATGTCCTGTTAGTTTCCCTTTGGCTTCATTCCGGTTTCCTTCCTCTTGTTTGCCTTTGCGTTGTTATTGTGGTATAGCTTTTGGTTCCTTTAACCTCTCCAAGGCAAGGCACGCCCCCCTTCTAATGCCTACCAAGAGGCAGCTCTAAGGCAGAGCGCAACCCCGTAAGACGCCGCCATTCGAGGGCACTAAGAGAGGCCACCCTCCCCCCCCCCCAAAAAAACTACAACGCAATCGTAAAACCCAAGAACAAGGCCCCCTATAGGGAATTGGGTAAAGCTCCCATCGGGAACGTGTGCCAACAACGGCATGACCAACAAAGCGTTGTGAGTCTGACCACTTCCAGAGGGGAAGCAAACACAAAGGGGTGTCAAGGTACGGTGTTCCTTTTGGCTTCCCTTTATGTGTGAAAAAGGTAGCCTCGAAACCAAAAAACACCGGCACGCCCAGGTTTCGTCCTGCATCTCCCACAAGCACGCCCGGTTCCGCAGTGAAATGGCTGACAGACCCAAACAACAAGGGGGGGCATGCACCACCGGGGGCCGCCGCTGCAGCGTCAGGCGCTTTGTGATCACCACCCCTGCGCCGGCCTGACAGTAAGGAAACCCAAAACCCACGAAGCTTCCCCAGAAAGAACTCAACGACTCAACGGAAGGCTTGCCTTGCACCTGCCTTGCCACCTGGAAGCGAAGGCCCTGATAGGGCACCCATTCAGCTTGCCATTCCCCCAACGGAAAAGCAAGAAAACCGGTTTTGACCCATGTGCCATTTAAGCATGTGTCGAAAGAGGGAAACCCCCAAACAGGATTTAGGATGTTCTTTCTGACTTCGTAAGCCAACCCGAATTGGGCACAGAGACTTGCAAAGCCTACCCCCCCCCCTCCCACTAGATCAACTATCGGGGGGCACCTGGAAGGTCAATTTCCTCTTGAAGGGACTGGGTCCCTGGCAGGCGCCATGCTAATGCTAACCCAGTGGAGAGCCATCGCCTTTGGAGGGGCCACAAACCAACCCCCAATCAATAAACTGGGGTTGATTCATATGGGGTCAGCATTGGAAGGAAGGCTCACCCCCTCTACACCAAGGCTTCAATTCCCCAAGCCACTCCAAACCACCAACGAGACCTTAACCTGACCACCTGAACAGGGTAAAAAAAAAAAAAAACTCAGCCTCCCCCAACTTCGCCCCCGGAAAAACCCGAAAGCCGAGCCGCGCGAAAGGCGGAAGAAGCGCCTTGGCCGACTCCACCAGAGAAGCGGTCACCGAATTTGGCCTCGAAGGCCCGCGGCTTTTTTTCCCCGGCGAGAAAAAGATCGGCGGGCCAAAACGCTCAGCAATCGGAGGCTTCTTCGTTGCTGTTGTTCTCTCTCTTTCCTTCCTGTTTTTTTGTTGGGGGGGGGACTCAAAGTCTATGGTCATCTTTTTTGTGGGCCAAGGTTCTTGGCAGATGGGAAGCCGCGAAGCAGCTTTCTGGACCTTTCGCTGGTAAAAATAATCCCCCGGCCGGCAGCTCGGCCCATCGGGGCGCAGGCTGCAGGGTCAGGCGCTTCGTGATCACCACCCCGGCGCCAGCCTCCCGGAGCGGGAGATCCTTACGTTATACACCTGAACATTCCCTTGTAAATGGTGGGTTCCCTTTATTTTGGTAGAACAAGCCATGTTTCAAACGGTTGCAAAATGTAACTTCCTCTGCACTGGCTGCGAAATCCATGTCGCACCGTTCAGATTTCGCACCCCATGGACCCTTCGGCGTGGAGATGCGGAGATGCCATGCCATCCTGAATCGCAGACCAGAGTAGAGTCATGTGCACGCATACAAATAGATAAAGGTGCATCTATATAAACCGCTATTGACTGATCTATCTACTTAGTTATCTATTTATCTATCAATTGATTAATGTCATTCATTGTCTATTTACCAATATATCTATTTGCTATTCATGTGTAGAACACATCGCATGTCTGCAAAATAAGTTAGCATAAGGCGTTTTGGCTAACCAGGTCCCAATAACATATTCCTCAATGTGGCCATGGGTCAAAGTCCCGTACCCCCTGTGGACATCCCAATCCCCACCAAAATAGACTAAAATGGGTGGTGCACCTGCCCCGAAATTGTACCATTGGTTTTGACCCAGAGCCATGTGTTTCAGCACAAACCCCGCAAGAAAATCCACCCCCCCCCCAAACGTGGCCTGCCCCCCCACCCAGAGAATTCGAGACACCTCCTGGGAGGCGGCCACCTTCGGCCTCGCGTCGGCGAGCGCAATGCGGCCGACGCATGCGCTGCAGTTCTCTTGAGAGAAGCTTCGTGGAGTTCTCAAACGTCTGGCTCCTGGTTACCCCCAGGTGCCCAAGAAGCCGCCGGTTCATGGGAGATCCTATCAAGACTTGTGCGTGAGTTTTAGGCGTCTCTGTGGCCCATAGGCGAACAACACGTAAGCTGCATGGTGCAAATATCTCTCTGTCCTGCTGCTCGGCCTGCCCATTCCCATAATCCTTGTGGTACATGTCGGCGCCGGTACCCATCATGAATGTCAGTTGTCAGGCTGATTCCTCACATGCTAGGGGCAGGACCAGTTCCACGACAAAAACCACGTGGTTGCTGTTGACCCCTCTGCAAAGAAAGTTTGACTTCTCGTGGCTCCAACGGAGAATCCAGCGTTTCAACCCAAGGGTTCAAGTCCAAAGAGCCATACTCAGGGAAGCCACGGCTTCCCTCAGGGCCCCGGGCGAAAACTGGCCAGGCGGTTTGTCCGGCTCGGACGCCTCAAGAAAAGCAACGCCAACGGGGGCCGGAGAGCTCGAGCAGACCCAAGCGGCCCAAGGCGGTAGAAGAAAAGCGCTCACCCATCTCCCACTGATTGACATGGAACCATGTTAACGTATTTGTTTGCGGTGGGTACTTGAAAAATGGTCAGGGCACACGGAGTTGCCTGAAGCTCAGGATCCCCGGGCAATCTTTGCCCCGCAAAAAAAAAAAAACTGGTCGAACTTGGTCTGGGGGCGTGTCCCTTCGTAAATTCCGGGTGGAGTCCACCCGCCTAGGATGGGTTTTACTTGGGAGGTTAGAATAAGGGTACTGTTTCTGTTTCCCGTAGTCTGTTTTAGTAGGGGCTTGCCCTCCCTCCCCAAACAATTGAACGGTAAAAGGGGGTTAACCCTTCCCCCTGTAGTCTATTTTGGTAGGGGAACCCTCCCCCAAACCCGGGGTAAAAGCTGGGGAAAGGGCGCCTAGCTGGGAAAAAACACCAGGCGCTTAGATCCAAAGTGCCCAGAGGACCCCCACCGGAGGTCACGTCTCTTCCCCGCCTCGGGCTGCTTCGGCTTGGGCTTCCGCCGGCGCGCCAGCAGCGAGGCCTCTGCGCGCCGATCCACGGAGAGCTACCCCCCCGTGACCTCCACATACCCGGCCTTTTTGGAAGACTGGGTTCCATTTACAGAGGCCAATTGGGGGAGCTTCCGGCTGTTAGTCTGAGGGAGGGAGTTCCAAATACCCGGCCTTAGGGTATCAGGTCGCCCCTCTACTGGGAAAGCAGGTATTTACCGTGGAAAACCGAGCGGTCTTCCCAGAAATGCCCTGACAAAAAGCGGGTATGTTGAGTAGCGGGTAGGCTCCAAGCGCCGCGAAACTCCGACTGCACTAAAAAAAAATCCCTTCCATTGACCCCGAAAACTGCGCCGGACTTACTCAGGGAACCCGGAAAATTGAGAATTCGCAACTGGAGCCGACCTCTTTTGGAGACGAGCCCTTTTCAGACATGTTTAAAAGACAAATGCACGCAACCCAAAAGTTGGGTTCCAGGGGAAGTTGGATATGTCATATATCAGCTCCAGGGCTCTTGAGCCCGACTTAGACCTGCCTTTTTAAAGGCGACAGTTCTTGCTGATTTCAAGGGCGGAAGTAATGGAAAAAGGGCAAACGTTGGCAAAGTGCGTTGAGTCCTTTAAGCCCAAAGATTCCCAAAGGCCCAAGGCCTTACTGTTAGGGTCCGGGATGCTTGTCGAGCAAAACCAGGCCACAAGGCACTGCTCGGTCGAATTCCCCGGAATCTTCCCAAGCAAGTGCAAATCAGCCCCCACACCCACCGACCCCAAACCACCCAAGACTCTAGTGAAGACTAGCTCTGAAGCAACTGGGCAAAGGCTGACCTTCTTGCTGATTTAACGGCCGAATCAGCAAAATTGAAAGGGCAAACGATTGCGCAAATTGTGAGTTCAGTTGTTAGGTCTGGCAATGGCTCGCTCGCTTCCAACCACTTAAGCCGCCTGGAAAAAATAACAATATTTCCAGTAGTGATAGATCCCTTTAAAACCACCCGGGGCAAATAAAAAATATTCTGAAGCCAATGGAAGCAGCTAGGACAAATAACCGTGGAAGCCTTGCGTCTTGTTCCCCGTTTGACCACCGGACATCCACTCGGAGCGGGCCTTCTCCTTCTCCAGCCACTCGACAAAAGGCTGCGCCTATCGAGGCGGTTTTGATTGGCAGGGACTTTGGGCGAGCGGCCAGTCAGAAGACATTTAAAACACTCCTGCAGATAAACAGGGAACCTGAAAAAACAAAACATTTCGAGAGGAATCTCCTTTTGGCTCTTTTTGGGGCTCCGTGTTCATTTGCAGGGTGGTAGGCGGTGGTAGGTCTTGACTTTTGCCCTGCAACCTGAACTGACCGGCGGACTGCACAGTTCTAAAGCCCTGCTCAAAGGTCGCCGGACCACAGGAAACTCATTCAGAGTTGTTACTCTCTCAAGGAACGGTGGCAAAACACGTCCGCCAGCACCACCACCACTACCACCACCACCACCACCACTACCACCACCACCACCACCAGCAGCAGCACCACCACCACTACCACCACCACCACCACCAGCAGCAGCACCACCACCACCACCAAAAGAAAAAAACTGTGCAGAAGGGGCCCCCAGCCTGTGCATCCATCACCGACAGCTCCTCCAGCATCTCTCGCCGAGATTTCCTCCTCAGTCGCATGCCGCGCCCAGTCGGCTTTGGGCCAAGCACTCCTTGTCCTTCGGCCATCTGGCTCTCCCAAAAACACCAGACCCCACGATGGTGTCCAGATCCAAGCAAGCCCAGCAACAGGGAATTCTCAAAAAAAAAACAAGAATATCCTAGGGCCTCTTGGAAAAGAGGAACATAGAGGAACCAAACACTAGTAAACTAACCATTTTTTAAGGATGGGGAAATGGTCTTCATGATTCTTGTTATGTGAAAAAGGTCCCCTCCCTGTCCACGCATTCAAGTCGAGGGGCTGATCCAGCAGGACGCAAATGAACTCCGCCTGCGGTCTGAAGCCAATCCGCATCTCTCCTTCAGCTACTTGGGCGGATTCTCTGCAGAACTCCTAGCCAGCAAAAGCAAATTTGGAGCCCCAGCTCCGAACGGCTCCCTTCCAACCACCAGGATGTTGCCTTCACGCAAAAGGGCCTCGCTTGAGAGTAATCCAGACATCAACCTTGAGAGTGCAACTGAAAAGGGCTCACATGCACGGCGCAAATCCAAACTGAGGGGAGCCCAAACCGACGAAGCTGAACGAGTCTTCAGTTGCGCGCTCTTTCGGGGGTCAGAGGCCGCAACTGATCAACAAAGCAGCTGGTGAAAAAAGCGGAGAAGCAAAACACGTGGCTATGAGTTTTAATGGGGAACCTCCTGAAAAGTGGTTGGTGGACACAAATCCCCACCTAAATGATGTCCACCAAAGGGTCCCGTCAGTCAAAATTCAATACCGAAGTGGGCAACAGCTAAGTGCACTTCAACTCCTGATGCTTCGGCAGTGCCATGGATCCAAAAACACACGAAGAGACAGCAGGTTTCATCTCCCGCTTTATGGTCGCCTGGTCGTCTGGTTTGGGAAGCTTTTCCTTTGGCAGCTCCCCCCATGAAGGATCAAAGGGCACTTCTGTAAAAGGGGCCTGAAGAGAGGTTACAACCCGTGGAAAAAACAACAACTGGGCCTGGGAAGTTGTCCCCCCCCGTTCAAGGCCCCCATTCACCCCAAACCCCTAAAACCTCAGGGCGGCACGAGAATCTCGGGCTCGTCATCGTCCGCCTGCACGGTTTGCCTGGCAAGGCTTCCCAAAAACACGGACCCAGCTGTGCAGCTGACAGGAAATCAGCCCCCTGGTTGACAATCGTTAGATAGAAGCTGTCAAATACCTACCATGTGTCTAGAGGTTGATTCCCAATTCTTTTCAGCCATCGTTCTTTTCGAAAACCAGCCATTTCCCCAGGGTGCTTGGTGGTTTTCTAGAAAGAAGGATCCCTGGAAAGAATGGGGAAGTTACCCTAGTTCATGAATTTGTGGGGTGCCCCGGTGCCCCCTCCAGTGGTGAGCCCTCACCTCGTGGTTTATGGCCTCTACTTGCATGCTACGAGCTTGCTAAGAGCTTGCTAAGAGCTTGCTAGCAAGTGATAGCCTGACCGCTAATCATATCGAACAGCAAGCTGTTTTCTAATCGGTCCGTTCTTGCCCACATGTGGAAAACCTGGCAATGTCAATGGCTTGCGGCAGTGATGATGATGATGATGATGATGATGATGATGATGATGATGATGATGATGATGATGATGATGATGATGATGAAGATGAAGATGAAGATGAAAATTAAGAATAAGATGAAGATGAAGATGAAGATGAAGATGAAGATGAAGATGATGATGATGATGAAGATGAAGATGAAGATGAAGATGAAGATGAAGATGAAGATGATGATGAAGATGAAGATGAAGATGATGATGATGATGAAGATTAAGATGAAGATGGAGATGAAGATGAAGATGAAGATGAAGATGATGATGATGATGATGGTGATGATGATGATGGTGATGAAGATGAATATGAAGATGAATATTAAGATGAAGATGAAGATGAAGATGAAGATGATGATGAAGATTAAGATTAAGATTAAGATGAAGATGAAGATGAAGATGAAGATGAAGATGAAGATGAAGATGATGATGATGATGATGATGATGATGAAGATGAAGATGAAGATGATGATGATGATGATGATGATGATGATGATGATGATGCTGAAGATTAAGATGAAGATGAAGAAGATGATGATGATGATGAAGATGAAGATGAAGATGAAGATGATGATGATGATGATGATGATGATGATGACGATAATGATGATGATGATGATGATGATGAAATTTATGTTTTGCAATCTCAAAGCTTCTTGGAGGTAGAGAGTGCGCGACATCACCGTGGACAGGTTTTTCCCTTCAAAACGGCGCCCGCAAAAGAGTGGAACAAAGCGAGCGTGAGGAAAACACAAGGCAACGCCTACTTAGGCAACACGTGTTCCTTTGGGCATTGCGTCCACACGTGTGCGGAGAGTCTGCTTGCACTTCGCTGCCCCAAATTGAAGAGGCGAGTTTCGGCCAGTCACGGGGCAAGAGACCTGGCTCTTGGAGGGGGGCATTTCGGCGCACCCCACAAACTCCTCTGAAAACAGCAGGGGTTGAGTGGGTGCCGCTGAACTTGCCCCACATCTTCGCAATGCTCTCTTCCCATATTTGGCCTATCCTACCAAATATGACATCTGCGCAATGCTCTGGTCCCTATTTCGCCCATCCTAGACTAGGTCCTCCAGTAGACAGGTTAGAATATGGGTACTCATTTTCTGTAGTCTATTTTGGTAGGGGAACCCTCCCCAAAAAAAGGCAAAAGTGGGCACCACTGGGGGTCTTAGTATAATTTTCTATTTACAAAATGGAGGAGACCCCGGTGTTCAGAAAATCACCCACCTGGATCCGAAACCCATTTTTGGACTCTTCACCTCCGCTCGAACGGATGCTCGGAGTTGGCCGCCGCCTCACGCGGCTGTTCACACTGTCCTTCAGCTCCTGCTGCTCCTTCCTGGCGGAAGAAGGAGGAAATGGTTGTACTGATATGTACATATATATATATATATATGTATATGTATATATTTGTATATATATATATATATATATTTATTTAATACATATATTTACATATATACATATATACATATATATATATATATGTGTGTGTGTGTGGCCATGCGTCAAAATCCCGTACCCCCAGTGAACATCCCAATCCCCGCTAAAATAGGTTCGAAAATGGGTGGTGCACCTACCCCAAAATGGTACCATGGGTTTTGACCGACAGCCATGTATAATTTACAACAAACACAACATGTAAGGTTGTTTATGCATGTTTACCATGCATCTTGGTACAGTTTCCTGGCTTTAGCTTAACCCCAAGGGGTTACGGTATCAAACAAGCCTCTCAACCAAAGGTCGAAGAAATGCCTTGGGCCCCTGGGCCCTAGGCTGCCTTGTGCGAACAAATGGGGGGGGCCTAGAGCTGACAGGTGAGTAAGAAGGTAGCTAATCAAGCGCAAAGGTCTCTACTAATCACTCTACCTGGGGGGAGGGGGAGAAACCGGAGACATCTACCAGCAACAAAAAAACCAACACATTTGACGTCCCATTCCCCGGCCATTTCTCGAGAACTCCCAGCCCCTGATTCGTTTCCCGGGGCCCTTCCGTCACTCGGCTCACGGATGCTCTACGCACTGGGGACACGAACTGGCGGGCGTCCCTTGAACACATTTTGATGCTCGGAGTACCTTTGGCTCAGTTGCCCAAAGGACCTGGAACTAAAAGGTGATCACCTTTTGGTTCCTTTACCAAAGATAGACCAAAATTGGAAAACCACAAGGTTAAAAAGTCGGCTTTGGGCAACTGAGTTGGTCTTTACAATGCAAGCCAAGACTCCTGTCTTCCCTGCGCTCTCCTCCCGTTCATTGCTCCAAGTTTCTCCTTTCTCCCGCTCATGAGGCTAGCCACCAAGCCCACAATCAACAGCAGGTGTTGGCAACTCCGGCACTTTGGCTCCATTTGCCCCCTGTACATTCGCGAGGCCCATCTCACCCGAGACTTTTGCTCTGGGTGACCATATCCTTAGGGTCCTTGCCGTCGCAGAAGTCCACATGCTCAGTTCACCCACTTCGGGCATACAAGCCTATGCAAAACGCACAGCCAGCCATCCGCAGCATCATCTCACTGCTGAAGGCCAACTACCAAACACGTCGCCAGTTTTTTGCTGCCAGTTTTTAGTTGGAAAAGTCTAACATGACCAAGAACCTGTGGCGTTCTTCCAAACAGGGAACAAAAGTACCCTTGCTTGGAGCAACCCCGTGCTAGCAAGTAGTGGCTTCCCATAACACCGGAAATGTAACACGTTCTTCCTTGCGGGGTCTGAGCGGTGGGAATTCTTGCATCCCCAATGTCCCCCTTAGATAAAAGGACTAGGTCCTCCAGTAGAGAGGTTAGAATAAGGGTACCTTTTTTTTCCGTATTCCATTGTTGTAGGGGAACCCTCCCCCAAAAAAGGAACGGCGAGAGGTCGGGGACCTAGCTACAAGGACTTCTGCATGCCTCAGGCACGCTTGACGTGCAGCAGCGCGTAGCCCTTCCAGCCCAGCCTCGGCCGAAGCAAAATCGCTACATGGCCACCGGGTACATACGCCTCATTATCCCCCCCCATAAGGCGGTTTGGGGAGAAGTGCCAAGTCTTTCGCCAAAAAAAAGGAGAGAAAAAGTTCAGGCCTTTTGGTGGGGAATGGCATCACCCCTCAAAAAGCCCTAGTCTGAAAGCCGAAGAGTATGGCTGGGAATCGCCGGGTGTACGATTCCCTTTGAACAACCACCAAACAAGGGGTGAGAGGACCGTGGCCAAACAAATTTGTGGCTTTCAGCTGGCCCCAAAAGGTTTTCACATGACCCCTGAATCAGCTAGGGTGGGACCCTGTAGGCACAGGCCGGCCCCATTGAGACTCAGCCTTTGGCACAACTCAGCGCCTTACGACCTACATCATGGCGCCCTCATTTTACCCTCAGCTCGCAAAAAAAAAGAAGCAGGCAAATACGCTATTAGATTTCATTGGGATCGAGCGGAGCTGTTGGGATCTGCCAAAAACGAAGCGAAGCATCGGACATGCGAATCATTCGCGCAGGGCAAAATGAATCTCTTCTTTCCGTTGCATAAAGCGGGGTGCAGCACCGCCGCTTTTTCCATCCAAAGCCCAGCTCCCCGCAAAAGTACTGACCTTGCCGTGCCTCATTTGGAGAGTGTGTCGCCGGAAGCCGAGCCCATGCACAAGCCGAATAGGTGTCCAGCCGCTTGAAGCATGTTGAAACCACAGCCCAAGAGTCATGTGGGGTGTCCCTTGTACGCGGGATCCCGGGCAAATTTGCTTGAACTGACTTGCGCGGCCCAGCAAACGGAACAGGGTGAAAACCCGAAATCCCCCAGGCGAAACTTGTCTGGATACGGGAACAACAAATATCGGGGTGTCTGAGCATCACGTAGAACAATACCCCCGATAAAAAAAAATATTCGGCTGCACAAAGAGGCGTTGGCCCTTCGCCCTCCGATTTGTCCCAATTTGCTTCGGCTTACTCTTTCCCGCTTTTGTCTGGATCGCGTGCTCCGCGGTCAATGACCCCCTTATTGTTCACCCCTCCAAAAGGGGTCTGATTCTCCTCATTTCACCCAGAAATGGACACCCCCCCCCCTCCCATGATTAACTGGTTGGTTGAGATTCACCTGGCGTCAGCCAAAAAACAAAAAACTCAGCTTCCAACCCCCGCCTACAATTAAACCACTGATTGGCTGAAATGTTCATAAGGGGTCAACGCCCAGACCGCCGCTCGGTTCTCAGTGCCGAGCGCTTGACCTCGGAACCCGCCGGGCCCTCCGGGCCCCCGGCAGGATCTCCCGGACCTCCTCGAAGTCCATCCACGCGCTGGGCCGCTGGCCCCGCCGCGCCGTCAGGATCTGCCGCCGCAGCGCCGCGGAGCCCGCGGAGCCCGCGGGGTCGGCCTGGAGGGCGCTGGCCCGGTGGCCGGGGCTCGATGTGGCTCGGTGTGGCTCGTCCCAGACCTGAAACTGGCCTCATGGCTCCAGGTGCAAGTGGTGTGGGCTGGTCTCGTTTGGTATTCGAACAGCTCCTTTTTGAAACCGAATGGGGATACACCCTAGGGTCCAAACCAATTAGAACGGGCCTCATGATCTTCTCCCATGACCAAAGTCACCTAGGTGCTGGGTCAAAGGGAAACAACCCCACCATTTTCTGACTTTGAGATCCCCCAGAAACAGCCCAGCGAAAGGGGCCACAGTCTGACCCAAAGGGGCCTGGGTTGAGCAGCTGCCTTAGCGGTTCGTTGGTTGTTGCAAGTCATGGCTTCCTCCACCAATGGAAGACGCGTCATTGTTCGGGATTGGCAGGAGGGTGGTTCAAGACTGGAGGGGTTGCCCTTGATTGGGCAAACAAGGCTAAGGAAGCAGTCCTTGCTCGGTGCGGATCCTTGCAATTCAAATTTGTGCCCTGGCAGGTGCCCCCCAACCCCCCTCAAACAAACAAAAAGCGCCCACCGAGCACCCAAACACGCCCAACCAAACCTGAGCAAAAACAAGCCCTACTGGAACCAGGGAATCCCCGGGGTGGGATCGAATCCGATTGAGGAAAATGGAAATCCGATCGGTTTGCCAGCGGGCAATAGCGGGGCCTCTGAGGGCAACGTGCTAGAGAAAACAGTGCCCATTGCGGACACATGGTTTCACCTGGCGACTGCGCCACAACCCTGCAACCCCACATCCTGTAAGGACCCTGGCGGCAACATCCACCACGTCTGCGAGCCGACCAGCCCGGGCTTCGGCCTCGTCCTCCAGCCACTCGCGCCATGCAAAAACCAGGGCGTAGTGGTTCGTCAGGTGGAAGAGGAGGACCTCGAAAAGGGAGCGCTGCAAGTGAAACAGCCACGCCACTTGCAGCAAACTATAGGCGGGCCTCTGCGGGGGATCCATTTCGGAATCGTGGGCGCCGAAAATCACACCCCGCAAAGGGAAGACGCGACTGCAAAGAGCGTGTTCCTTGCCGCTCGAAAACGCTCCCCAACATAGGCGACGTTTCTTGAAATAGATGGCCCTGGTAAGTGGAATCAAGCCCGTCTAAACCAGTGCCATCCATTTCTCACCAAACTAATCGATTAAAAGATCACCTATGCGGCCCTATGCGCCCCAAGCTCTTCATCCTGCATCATCCTGCGTCTTTGCATTCCGAATCAGGCCGAGTCACGAAACCACCCTTGTGATTCCAAAGTGGAATGCCGTCCCCAGCAACGACATTTATCACTTCAACGGTGATTCCATTGCTTGGTTTCAACAAGTGCCAAAACAAACAAACAAAAAACACACACACACACACACACACACACACCACACCCAACTTGAATCCACCCACCTTCATGGGTTTTCCATACCACCCGACACCCACCGAAACCGACACCGGCACCGAAACCCCCCCCCCAAACCCCCCGGCTCCTCGCTCGGGCAGCACGAGCGCGCGACACCGAGAGCGCCCCCTTCGACCCCCTCGGGCCGAGGAGCGCCGCCGGGCAGGCCGAAGGCGGCTTTCAGCGCCGCCCACTGCGCGTGCACCGCCTCCGCGCCGTCGGCCTTCGTGAGCGGCGCCGCGGTTTGCGCCATGGAGCCCTTGCCTTCAGAGGCAGGTGGGCAGGTGGGAGTGAAGGGGGGGGAAGTGAGGGGGGGAGGGGTGGGCTCTCATCTTTCTGTGGGAGGGCCGTGTTTCCGGGTCCACTTCCATGATTGGTAGAACGAAGGCAAGGGTTACAGTTTCAGAAGCCAGCTGGAAAAGCGCCGACTTTGTGCAATTGTGTGAGATGTCCAATGGCTGGACATGGTGGAATTACTATGGGTGCATGCACGTGCTGAGACAAAGGCAAGGCTGCCCACTTCATATATCACATACACTGGTGGGGGGGGGGGGGGCAAACTAATGTCGTAGGCATGCACATATGAAGCAAATGAAACGTATAAGGTTACACATCTACTACATAATACATTTATGTATAGGTATATATATCCATACTTGTGCATGTACATGAATATGAGTGTAAGCCTGCCACGTCCTACACAAATGCGTACACATAAATCATACATGTATATATGTATGACACACACGTATGCATATGTGTATGTATTGTAGATAACCTGCAAACGCCTCCTCCCTGGCAGCCCCGCTCCATGGGAGCCATTCCGAGGCTCCCGCGGGCCATGAGGCACGAGACCTTGAGCTGCTCCTGGACTCTCAGATGTCACGGTCAGCCCCCGAAAAGGCTTTTGGACCCCCCCCCACCCCACAAAAGGCGCCCAAACATACATCCCTAAAGTGCCCGCAGCCGGCCTTATCATAGGATCCGAGCCCCCCTTCGAGTCGTTTTTGGGTCTGTGCCGCTTTCTGGTTTGAGCCAACAATCCAATAAGAAACCAAAGGGGTTGGGGGGGGCCTGGATGCACGGAAGGTTTCCCCGGCGTAAAGTGTTGACTTCGACAAAATGGGGGGATGGCACGCCCCAAAGAAGGACGAGGTTCTTCGAAAATAAGGAGGGGAACGTTACCCTTTTTGACGGCTTAAATGCTAATGTCCACCTGACGTATTTGCGCTTTGGCTTGTTCTTGGCTTCCCCCCACAGCCCCCCATGGCCCTCCCCCCCCACCCCCCACCGCCCCGGCCTCCCGCGCTTGCGCCAGCTGCAGCAGCGCCGTTCTCAGGCCCCCGCTGCCCACCTCCGAGGTGTTGGGCCGCTCAGCGCGGAGCCTCAAAGGGCGCGAGGAAAAAAAATGAATGTTCTATATATATATATATATATATATACACTATTTTTATATATGTTTAAATACATAAAAAAAAAAAAATAAAAAAAAAAATAAAATAAAAAAAAAACTGGCTTTGGGGGTGTTTCTCGAACAGGGTGACCCCTGTTTGGATGGCTTTTTGAAGGGAAACCCCTCCGCAAATTTGGGTGTCTCAAAGGGGACCCCTTCTTGGATGCAACCCGGAACCATGAGGAGGGAATTGGGCCCCCTTTTTGGATAGTTTTGTTTGAAGGGAAGCCAAAGGAAACGAATCCCTCCCCAAGCCTCAAAGAACAAAACCCTTTTGGATGGGGGTCCGAATCCAATTCACCCAGATTCCGCTGGGCAATTGAGCTACGTCCCCCACCAGAACTCCAATCGGTAGCTCCGAGCCCCGCTCCCTTAAAGCAACCCGGCCCCCTTCCAAGCACCAGCTAGGTTAGGAGGAAAGCGCTAGCAGGCCGGGGCAAAACCTTGGGAACGGGTTTGGCACGAAATGTGCCAAACTCCGCGTACAGGAACAGAAGGATCTCATTTGTGGCCACCCTTGCCTTCCGCATATCAGAAGCCCATGGTGAGGGCTTCAAGGGGCATCCTGTTCATTTTGGCTGCTGTAACGCAGGGATCCTTACGTTGTACACCTAAACATTGCCTTGTAAATGGTGGCGTCCCTTTATTTTGGTGTTGAAAAAGCAACATGTTTCACATGGTTACGCAAAATGTATTTCTTTTAAGGAGCCCTGTAACGGGAAGCCCTCTCCAACAAGCAAAGGCGCCTGAGCACGCCCTTCCGCTTGACAAGGAGCTCGGACACCTCCTTCCTCACGAGTGTGGTGAGGAAGTGGCCGTGTTTTTGCCCGCTTGTTCGCCATTTCTTGGACTCTGCACACACAAAAAACAGTGGAGAATGATCTGGGCTGCCCATTTTCAGATGCCCCGCATCTGAGTGACTAACCTTTCGTGGGCCTTAGATGGCAATCCAAGCACCAAACACGGAAAAGCCAAAAGCCTAAGGCCTAAGGAACCGGATGCTTGGGAGCCACCGTCTTCCAGCTGGCGACTGTCATGCCGGTCCATTCCCACCCCGAGAACTCCCAGGTTAAAAATCTGCGTTTTTGTTTTTGAGCTGGACCCCCCCCCAAAAAAAAAAGAGGGGGGGCTTCGGTTTGCCTCTTGGTTCCCCCCTGAAAAAAAAAAAAAAAAAAAAAAAAAAAAAAAAAAAAAAAAAAAAAAAAAAAAAAAAAAAAAAAAAAAAAAAAAAAAAAAAAAAAAAAAAAAAAAACGAAAACGGGAGTACCGAGCCTCAAGCAGAAGACGAGACCCATTTTGACCCTTGACCTCCGCCCAAACCTTTGGCCCGGCGTCCCCCACTTCGTGCTTCCCACTGACGTCGCCGCGACGTTCTCCAGCTCCTCCTCCGGCGCCTGCTTTTTGCAGCTGGGGCCGGTGGGAACTGAGAGATCCCCGCGAAGGAACGCAAAGCCACAGGAGAGAATGAGAAAGCCCTGCCTCACTTAGCCAGTGGCCTGCCAAAAAAAAGTGTACACTTTTTCGGCCACCACTAAACTAAAGGGGAAGCCACCAAGAAGTGTAAAGTGTGTCCACTGGCCAGGTGAGCTGCCAATGCAACCCACCCACAGTGAACAATGGCTTTGGCCACACTTCAGTTGCCTCTCTAAGCTGAATCCTTGAGCTAGTTGCCTCCAAGCTACCCAGCGAAGCAGCCCAGGGGGCACAGCTTCATTTAGACTTAGAAGACCCCAAAAGCCCCAAAACTTCGAATTCGGGCAAGGTTCTGAGAGTTTTCCAGTAAACCTGGTGCAGGGTTTGCCTTTTCCACTGAAATGAACAGCCTCCCTTGAAAAGGGCTTCTACACTACCAGAGGGCTGCTTATTTATTTATCCCATGTCTGGCAGTCACTGGTGCGTCATGTCACTTTCCCTGGCAAATTCAACCCACTCCCCGCCTCCTCTTCCTCCTCCTCCTGGCGCTCTTGGCACAGCACCTCCCGCAGCGCCTCGAAGACGTCCACCGGCGGCAGCTCCGCACCCGCGCCGCCCGCCTCACGCCGTCTCGCCCGGCGTCTCGGCCCCCCCGTTCGCGCACGAATTTTGTTCGCCGCCCAGCGGAGCCCAAAAATGGAAAATTACCCCCCGTAGTCACCACAAATTTTTGTGGGATCTGAAGAAGGATGTGCCAGCTTGCCAAGGAAATTCGAAGGAGGACGCTGGAAGACTAGTGGCAGCAGGGCCCTTTTTGGAGGTCCCGCCTCCTCCTCAGGTGCATCCAATGCCTCCCTGGGCCCTGCGGATGCACGCGGACTTGCGGACGGAGCGACCTTTACGCGGCCAAAAGATGATGCTTGACCTGCTAAAGCGTGGAAGGACCCCAGCTGCGGGCCGTGGCAAAAAAGGAAAACAGAGAATGATGATGATGATGATGATGATGATGATGATGATGATGATGATGATGATGATGATGATGATGATGATGATGCTGATGATGATGATGATGATGATGATGATGATGGTGGTGGTGGTGGTGATGACGTAAGCAACTCCCTAGTGGTTACAGGGAGCCGTGTAAGTCGTGCTCCCACGGATCCAAGAACCCGTTCAAACTGGCAGTTGACGCAACAAATCCCCCCAGTCCTGATCTGGTCCTGGAACGCAGCAGCTCTCCTAGTGGCACCGTTCGCAAGGGGCTCACTGGTTCTAAGCAAGCAAGCTCCAGGTTTGGTTTGGCTGTTGAAAATATAAACAAGGGCTTCTTGACAGTGGGGGGGTTTCTTTCAGGGTTTCTTGGAGCTAACTTTCAGGGTTTCTTGGAGCTAACTTTCAGGGTTTCTTGGAGCTGGCGCTCAACTAATGACTTGGTCTCACCGTGACTGGACCCCTGAAAGAAAAAGGACCCGAGGCCCCCGCCTGCCTTCACTGCAAACCAGTGGGAAGGGCGGCCTTGTATGAAAAGGGATGCCCGGCATGCGATGTCTGAGGAGTATGGACCTAAAAGTGGGACACAGCCTCAGCGGAGAATGTCGGTCTATGGACATACACATCCGTTCCCTCACGCAAATAGCCGCAGCCCGTGCCGCTCGAGTCTGAGCATGCCATTTCTCCACTCCCCTATCCCGCACGCCCAGCCACACAACCCAGCTAAAACCAAGGCGATGAGACACACGCGCTGCAGCTTCCGAGGAAGGCTTGGCAGGTTCAGGCCAACCAGTCGGAGGATGTTCCATGCTGCGATGTTCGTTCCAATCATGAAAGTGAGGATTTACAAGACTGCCAGCCCCCAAAAAAGGCTCCCTGGTCGACTTCCAGCCTTGCTGGGATTTCCGGGCGCAAAAACCCCATGCGTGTTTCTGGCTGCCGGCAAGAATCGGGCGTTGGCCATCGCGATTTGCTTGGTGACCGCCTGGCGGTCCAGGCGCTTTTTGCGGATTGCTACTGCGGATGGTTGCGAAATCCGTTTCTCGCACCACTTGGAAACACCTAACTTAGGGGAATCGAATCATTCAAGGCTTTCTGAACCGGTGGTGCGAAATGGATTTCGTCCATCCACGGTATGGCTTCCACCTACGGTTCACCTACGCTTCAATTCTACTTGAGGACCGCTTTGCTGGACACCATCGACATTGGGATTTATGTCCGACCATCAGGGTGTTCCCATCACTAGTTTGCAACCATGTGGCCTCTTTTTGCATGGCATTTGGGTTTGCCAACTGATCTCTGAGGGACTTCCCCAACTGTCGCCACATTGCAAACAAGTTCAAGCAACTGGACGCTGCGATTGACGTCTGACAGCAACACGTATGCATCCAGCTCCTCAACCAGGTTAGACTAAGTCAAAACAACGCCTCAGACATGCGGCACGCCCTCAAAAGCCTCAACTATGCACTATTCTCAGCATCCTTCCCGACACCACCTCCGGTAAAAAACAAGCTCAGGTGATATCCCCAACAGCATGCGGTGCTCTTTTTTTAGTGCTCGCACCACCCTGCAGCCCTCGCAGAACCTCGTGGGACCCTGGTGGAACCCCTGGTGGAACCCTGGTGGAACCTTACCTCAGGGCCGCCCCGGACCACCCCGGACCCCTGGTGGAACCCCTGGTGGAACCCTGGCGGAACCCTCGTGGAACCTTAGCTCAGGGCTGCCCCGGACCACCCCAGAGCCTATCAGCCCCCAAAGCTTTCAGCCGTTGGGGAAAAAAACGAGGAAAAAAGCATTTTTTGGGGTTGTTCTCAAACTTCTAGCGGTTTCAAAGTAAGCCACTACACCAACCAACCCAAAAAGCTCAAAGTTTACACGAAAATTCGACTAAGCCAACCAAAAACCAGCTCCACGCGTCTTTATGGAGCCGGCTGGCCGAACCCCGCCCGAAGACCGCCGCCCGCAGACCGGCCTTCGCCTTGAGCCCCGTCCAGCTGAGGCCCTGCTCCGCCAGCCTCGCGTCCAGCGCCGCCAGGAAGGGCTCCAAGGCCCCCGCCGCCACGCCCAGCAGCCGCTCCTCGAGGCCCCAAAAAAGCAAACGAAGAGACGGGGCGGCGCAGGCGAAAAGCCCTTGGTCTTCACTACGTACATATAGAGATCCGGTTGTGTTATTTGTTGGAACCATTATTGTTATGATTGTTGTTACCATTGTTCTTGCTATTGTTGTTATATATATTAAATCTTCATGTGCGCACACACAGACACACATAAGTATATGTATCTCTACATACCGCTATGGGGACATGAATGTAAAAATACACAAATTTTCCACATGTACATACATACATTCATACAAACTTGAGGACATGTGCACGCGCAAACAGAACTAAACCTCGCGTATACACATACATCGATACGGATATTGTCCGTTCGACTAGAGTTGCGGGTCCAACAACTATTATCCTACCATATTGTGTGCCTACAGAAGCAGACAACACACCATGAAATAGTGCACCACATACTGAGCAAAAGAATTTGCAGACTTGACCCTGCGCACGTGCAATTTTGCAAGTAGACTGTGCAGCTTCGCGCTCGAAATGCTGGCTGCAAGCTACTATGTGCAAACTTCTCCGCGCAGATACGCTGCGTAAGTTCGCCGAGTGACCAGCCGCCGCTGCTTCTGCAGTTGTTGCTGCTCCACCTGCCCCGTCAGAAGCCAAAAGCGTTGAGGAAGGCAACCCCCGGCGCCAAGCAAACGGGCACCTCTTCTGGGAGCCTTAACAAAAGGGGAACAGTTTGCCTCAAACAATGCCTCCAACAGAGAACAAATAGGAAGGATGAAAAGCCCCTCCCCCCACTCGAAGCGTGGTATTACAAGTGCGGTTTGGTCTACCGGGGTTTGGGGTGCGTTCTGGTTGCACCCCTCACATGGCGTGGATGAATCCGGAGACTTCAAGCATTAAAAACCTCTGTCCAAATGTGTTGTACTGGCCGCTCCTTTCTGGCTGGGGCTTGTTGCATACCTTTTAGGCCCATTATGTTGGCACCTGCCTTTTTGATGTTTTTAAAGCAGGAAAACCGTAGTCATGCGAGTTAAACGTCATTGTCCAATTTCCAAGGCCTGTGCCGCCATGATCTCCGCCACCTCGCGGATGGTGCCTCGGCTGGATGTTAAGGGTGGGGCAACAGTTGGTACATCATCCTGCCGTCAAGCTGCATGTGACCCGGCTAGTGCCAGACACCGTCCCAAGCAACAAACACGACTTGCGGCACTCCAAACCTGTGACGCCGCATGATTCCCACTGACATGCATTCCTGGGTGATGCCGTACTCTAAAGCCATATTCTCCGACGCCACATTCCCCCCTGAAGCCGCAATCCCATTCTATTCTGACGCCACATTCCGCCTAACGCCACATTCCCGGTTGACGCCGCCTTCGGACCACATTTTCTGACGCCACATTCCCCAGACGCCATTCTCAGCTGACGCCGCATGATGAGGTCACATGTCACCCATCCAAGGGAACCTCCAAAAAAGCAAAGGCCGCCGACATCATAAAGCGCGATATTCTTGCTATTCAGGGTCCCAGTTCCATAAGGGGTCCGATGTTGTGTGTTTATTCACTGCTGGTAGGGGGCTGGGTCAAAGAGAGGTCTAGTTCAGAAAGTACTCCTTCCTTTCCGGGCCAAAGAACACTTCACAAATCACTGGTCTTTCGCTTGATATTGCTTTCAGCCTTGGGCAATAATGGCCCCCCAGACTAGGGACCTTTGTCAATGCTTGTGGGAGATCACCAGGAACACTCGCCGCCAGCACGGCTTCAGGGACGTCTTCGCAATTCGTCTTCGGGGGGCAACTCGTAAAGGAGGGGAAGAACTGGTGAAATCCACCACACCAGATCCGCCTCCAACCTGCTTTCTAGACCTAAGCCGGCCCGCTCCGCGCAGTTCGACCAATCGAGTCGCACGAATCAACGCGACCAAGTGCTCCGAGCCACAGGCGTCGGACGCGTCCCGCTTGATGCGCCAGAGGGCCTGGGTGTCAGCGGGCCAAAGCCAACAGGCGCCCCATTTATGGCTAGCTCAGGGGACATGCCTAGAATGTAGCCAGAAGAGTCCTTGAACCTCCCCCAAATTCGCCCTTTTTTTCGGAGCTTGCTTCTTTCCCCTCTTAGTGCTCCCTTGGGAGAAACTCGAAATGAAAAGACAATGGGAACAACGTGTTTTCTGCTTCCGCTTGGGCAAAACCATCCGCCAATCATCCCTGGCCCCTCAGCTGCCCAAGATCGAAGCCCTCCCGGAAATTCCGATGGCCAAAGCCCTGTCCCTGGTGGGTGTTGGGAGAAATGTTCCCATTTGTTTAAGCCCCCCCAGAAAAGATTAGGAAAAGTATCTGGGTTGCTTTCTGCTCCCCTGCTAAAAGTGTAGTGGTTTAATGGAAGACCCATTCGTTGGCAAAAAGTTAAAGTCCTAACATCCAAGCAAAATGCACCAAAACAATGTCATAGGGGGCACCAGAAACGAGCAGAACAGGAAACAGGATGTCACATACAGTACGGGGCACCAGAAAATACAAGAAATGAGAACATAAAACATGTCCAGTAATGCGAAATCCCCATTCAAAACCCCGCGAAAAAGTCCAACGCCCTCCCCCTGGGCCGCGGGGCGTTGAAGGCGCCGGCCGCAGAGGCGCAGCCGCAGCAGGGCGAGGGCTGGGGCACCCAGCTCTCCTGGAGGATCCGACTTGAGCGAATCGAAACCCGGCCGACTGGAGGGAAGCGAGAAACCGGGGGTGGGGGGGCTGGTTTTGGTGGGGGCAGGGGTGGGGGACAGGGGTGGGGGTGGGCTGGTTTTGGTGGGAGTAGGGGTGGAGGAGCTTCATTTCTTTCGGTTTCTTCCCGAGTTCTCGCGGAGTGGTCCGGAAACAAACGAGAGCGGAAGTTTGGTGAAGACGTGAAAATCGAGTTAGGCTCGTGGATTGAAATTCTGAACCTGTTTAGCTTGTGCCTGATGCGCAAATTGTGGGGACAAGCAACAAACAGGGTGCAAATGCGGCCTTTGAGAAATGGTTCAAAAGTAAAGCAGTGACAAAGGCTCAACTGCCACATTTTGGAGAAAAGGGTTACATGAGCCCTTGACATGGACCCCCGCCCCCTTCCGGTTGTTGCAAGGGCAAGCGCGCGCAGCCTTTCTGCGTTGTAGGGTTTCTTTTTGCACAAAATCCAGATCAACACTGACCCAAGTGATGGTTGATTTTGTCCAGGATTCCAGCTCTGCGTCCCCTGCGCGTTTGGCTCTCCCAAAAGCACACCCATAAACACATCCAAACCCGAACAAACCATCCTCCTCCTGTGATCCAGCAATCGTCCAGGATCAAGCAAATGACTTCTCCAACGCCCCGTTGGAGTAACTTGGACTGTTTTTGGCCTAAACAGGGTGACTCGTCAAAGGTCGAAGACGCGCCCAACCCGGCAAAATGATCTTTGGTTGTTTGGTTTTGTGAGTTTCGCGCTTGCTTCCTTTCGAAGTCATCCCCAAGAAGCTGTTGACAACCCACGGAATCTCACTGGCTGAGTGGATGGCCCAAATGGTCTTTCATGGTCTTCCCAAAAAGTTTTAAGTCCATGAACTCAGGAAGTGAGGAATAGACTCACATCTTTGTGCTGGCTCAGCTCAATTTCTCCGCCGGCCATCCGGAAGCAAACCTTTTGGGCGTGGGGTGGCGCTTGAAGGTTGAAAATAGCAATTGAGCAAGTAGTTCTGGCGTGTTGGGAACCCTGGCTTTCTTCCTCTGCCTTTTCCGACGTGGAAATAGAGAGTTGTTGTTGGGTCGGTTGGGGCTGGTGGCTTGGAGCAACAGAGCCTACCAAAGCCCCCGCATGAAAAACACGACGCGACCAACAACGGCTACCTTCAACAGAGCCATGCGGGCGCGCACCCACACACACACGAGAAAGCCAGTGTGACAAGAGGGGCCAACGTGACTCTTCGGTGCATTTGATCTTTGCCCACCGCGCGTGCGGAGCTTTTCCGCCCACAGGCACACAGACACAGAGCCAAAGCTCCAGAAGGCTGCGGTTGAAGCCGCCGGCCCAGGCAGTTCCTGGCTTCGGGGCTTGACTTGAGCTCCTTCAAATCTCAGTGGAGTTGTTCTACTTTAACCACAAGAGGCTCAAACTCCGAAACCAACCCAAAAAACCACCAAGGGTCAAGGGTTTACCTGATAACTTGACTGGGGCCGGAGAAGAGAAAAAAGGACAACGACTGAAACTTGCCAAACACCAGGCCCAAGTCTCGCGCAGATAGGTCTACATGGGGGCCTTTGCCGGGAAAGTGATACTCCGCCAGCAGTCGCAGGGGATCAACCTGGCCGCAAAACGGAGCTTATCCTTTCTCCCACTAACCTGGCCCCTACCGGCGGTCGCTTTGAGAAGAAACAGATCTTCCAGGTACCTTGCCACAGGTGCCATGTTTGTGGGAGGAAGGGTCACGAAAGACACAAAAACGGCCAGCCGCCAGTCCCAAATCCCGAACTCTGGTCCAAACCCCCATTTCTGGTCCAAAGCCCTGGCGAAAAATACCGTTGTTTATTTGGGCGCTGCAACCCGCAGAGTGAATCCAACTCACTTTTTGGGGATGCCGAGGGAGTCGCGCACAGCCACTTTCGTTCCGCAAAGCTTATCTTTCCAGTGTTACCTGCTTGAATTGAACTACCAAGCTGAGCCTTTTTGGATGCCCCGCCCTACTTTTGGCTAAGTTGGCCCTGGGCAACCACTGGGTCGCATGTCACAAGGCGCCGCGCTCAAAAGGCGCCTCCAGGAGGCTGGCGTCCGCATCATGCTCCTCCAAAGCGCGGTGGATGCAAGGCTTTGCCCATCTACAGGATCCACAGGAGACCGATGTTCCCCCAACCAAACTTCTTCAAATGTGTTGCACCCCTACGAATCAACCAGAAAATTTGCTCTGTGAAACGTCCTTGTTGCTTCAACGTGCTGAATGGAAATAGCCCCCCCTGTGGCGGAACTCACACACTGGAGGCGAGAAATCGGCCAATTCAGCGGGGCCTTCGCGGCCCCAAGCGGGCTTCACAACTTGCGAGCCCGCGATGCGCAGCAAAAACGTGAGGCCCCGGTGCCCAAAGGGTCTTGGTCCCTGCCCCCAAACACTAACAGTCACCACAACTTGGAAGACCAGTTTAGTGGTGGTTGATCTAAATTTCCATCATCCACTGTTAGTGGGTGGGGGCAGGGTACAATGGATTTCCCTGGTAGTTGACTCACTTGCCCAAAGGACCCATCAATAAAAGGTGATCACCTTTTGGGACCCCTACTAAAAATAGACCAAACAGGGAAAACCAGGTCAAAAGGTCGATTCGCTTTGAACAACTGAGTTGATGTTGAATTTTTCAGCACCAGGGAAACCAGCCCTCTCTTCACCCAAATCAACCACGGACACCTTTGCCTGTGCCCGGCATTTTGCACGGAGTCATGAGGATCCCTGTGACGCGGGGGATGCCGGCATTTTGCACGGAAACCAAGCATACTCAACCACGCACCCATGGCACATCAGGGTAAATCAGAGGGTTTCCTCCTCTGAATCCCTGGCACCAAACAGAATTAAACAGAAAAAGAAACTGGGGAAGCCCGAAGCCTGGTGACCAGACCCTGTCGGCTCGAGGCTTGTCAGAACGCATAGGCGGCAGAGAAAAGAAAAAGGGGGGGGGGAAAATATGATTCAGGGCACCCACTTGAGCGCCATCTAGTGGGTTTCGATTTGTGACAACTACGGAGCCTCCCCGGACCTCAGGAATGAGAACGCAGATTGTTTGTCCCGGGAACCCATGCACGCAATTGTTGAGCTCGGTTCAACTTGTCTAGATTTGTCACACACCCAACCTTCCCGTTGACACTTAGGGTCTATGTTGCAACCACCTTCCTTCATTGGTTGTTTCGGCGCTCTTGGCTGCAAACCTTCTCTGAGTGCCCATAACACCCCCCCATCCCCCCCCCCAGCCCCCCTCCCATCCCCCCCATCCCACTCCTTCCCGTCCCCCCCCCCCCCCCGGCCCATCCCCCCAACACCCAACACCCCCCGGCCCCGTCCTCCTCTTCCTCCGCCTCCTTCCCACTCGCCTTCTCCTTATCCCAGCCGCGCGCCAGGCCGTCCAGGTACGCCCGGATGGCGCCCAGCACATCCTCCCGACATCTGAAGCGCCCGAGCCCGGGGGGGTTTCGGCCCCTCGAAGCCGGAACGGAGGGCGTCTTCAGGGAGCCAGCCGGACCCTGCCGAACTTCGGCCCCTGGAAGCCGAAGCTTGGCCCCTGGAAGCCGAAGCTTGGCCCCTGCAAGCCGAAGCTTGGCCCCTGGAAGCCGAAGCTTGGCCCCTGCAAGCCGAAGCTTGGCCCCTGGAAGCCGAAGCTTGGCCCCTGGAAGCCGAAGTTTGGCCTGGAAGCCGAAACCCGAAACCCGGCCCCCTCTGCAACCCCCTTCTTTCGTTTGGAGGACTAAAGCCCAAAGTTAAACCACACACCCATCTGAGCCAGAGCACGTCACCTGGCTCGGGTGACGTCTGTGCTCACAAGCGAGATGTGGGGAGTCTAGAAAATTGGCCTTGCTGTGCTTTGTGAATTTCAAGGTTGATCTCATGAGCACTCGCGAGGACGAACCCCATTAATGTTGACCCCAGATTTGATCAATAACCCCTGGTTGAAGTAGATTAGAAGATTCCCAAGCTCCTTTTTTGTGGGGTTCAGGGGGAACGCCTTCCATTAATAGGACAGGCTCTACTTAGATCCAGGGTCAGCGCTCCCCCAAATCCGCGAGCCGACTTTCTTATACATTGCTGGGATGGATGAAGCCCGGAGTGCCAACGCCACGTCCTTCGGCCGGTCTTGGCCTAGCTGCACCAGTAGGTCCGTGAAGAGCCGGCGAATCCCGCACTCCTCGAAGTAGGCCTGCGGGGCTTCAGGGACCACTGGACACTGAGAAATCGTATTTTGAGAGCGGCCGATGCCGACTTGCAAAGCGGGAGTCTCGAAAAGTTTTTTAGACGTGGTGTCTCCAAGACTTTTTTTTTGTAGGCGAAATACTGCGGATGGACGAAATCCATTTCGCGCCACCTAAGAAAGCCTGGGATGATGACCCCTGTAAATCATGGTTTCATTTCGTGGTGCGAAGTCTATTTCGTCCATCCACGGTGTGTTCATCAGAATCTGGAAATCCGGCCCTTCTTTTGGTTTGATTCTCATCAAACTGATCCACTTCATAGAAAACCCCGGTGGCCAAAAAAAAACGACCATTCACTTCCCAGCTCCGGAAGATGCTGTTTCTTCCTCCAGCTAGTCCGGCTCCCTTCCAAGTTGCACCCGTCCGTTCATAGCATGGCCATGAAGAGACCTCAGCTACCTAACAAAGAATAGACGGTAGTTACCTCAGAGTGTAAAGTTCAAAGACCTCAGCTACCTCACATTTCATCGCCTGGCCGGCGACCGGGGACGATTTTGCTTGTGGTGCCCTGGTGGTCCCAAAAAAAAAAAGGAAGAAAAACAAAAGAAACAAACGCAGTACCACATACCCTCCCACCGCCGAACGTGGAAGTGCACAGACCCCTGTAGAAAAACCTGCTTTCCTCTTGGGCAGGGGGGGGTTGTGCACTTCCATGTTCCTTGGGACGCTCCAACGCCGCTCCCCGCCTCCGCTGCCCGCACCGCCTCGTGCGCGGAGTCGCTCGGGCCCCCCGGCATGGCGCGCTTGGCTCATGGGCTCATCGCATCGGATGCGAGTGGAGGCGTTGGGGGGGTTCCGTGGAGAAATCCTCTTAACAGCTGGCCTTGCTTTGCAGCTAAAGCACTGGTTTACACGGGAAAGTCATCTAAAAAAGCATAGTTCAAGGGTTCCAAAGATTGCGATGTTGGGGCAGTTGCCTGGGATAAATTCCGAGCAGGGCGTGCAAACATGTTGAAACATGGCCGTTCTTAGTGTCATGGTTGCAGCTGTTGTTGAGAAAAGCGATGTCACATCACATCATCGTTTAGCGGGGACACGTAAGGGAGCCTGTTGTAGCGATGACACGTAGTCTGAGTTTGTTTCCAAATAGGGCAGCATCGAACTTGATGATTCCTTTTGCTTCCCTTTGAAGCCATCCCAAGCATGATACCCTCAAGTAAAGGCACACCCATTTACACCAAGGCTAGCTGCTGTGCTTCGAAGAATGCGAGCTAAGCTCACAAAGCAGCCCAAAAGAACCGAAGCAGCTCCATTTGAGAAACCACCCGTTCTGCGGGGCGCCCACCGATTGGGCCCGTATCCAAATAGTAGTACCCCGATTTGTTTTTTGTTTGCTTGTTTTTTGCGGGGGGGGGGTGTTCAATGTGGCTTCCCTTGAAACCGACCCAAAACGGAACCCCTCACTTAAACACATACTGTGCCCGTGTCGGGACAAACTGGCTTGGGTGGCTGTGTCAAGCGGTTGCTTGCGCCCTGGATTCAACCGACACTGCGGAACAGAGCTACCCTGGCTTTTCGTGGCCCTTTAGCCATCACCCCACCAAACACTTCCAAATACTTGCACCATCAAAAGCCAAACAAACGAAGAACCGCTGGCATAACCCGGACCCCGTTTCTTGTCCAACGCGTGCGCGCATTTCTCTTTATTTTCTTCTCTCCGCACCTTTCCACCGGCCAGGCTCCGAGTCGCGCCACGGCTCACATCATCTCCTCCGGGCTGTGGGCGAAGGTGCACTTCGCACCTGGCGACTCGTCGGCTCGTCGCTTCGTCGCGAAGCGGCTCCGAAGGTCGAAAGGTGCGGAGGCCGGCCTTCGGCCCTCGGAGCGCCAAAACTTGGTGGACGTCGGGTTTGGGGAGCAAAAAGTTTAGAAAACAGTTTGCAGCTAAGTGGATTTGGATTTCAACCATAAAACCACAAGAAGCAAAATGGGAAAGATGTTTCCCAACAACAAGCATGAAAAGACCAGGGGAATCTTCGCCGGCGTGAATCCCATGAAAGCATGAATCCCAGATATGGGTGTGGCTCAAAATTACACGATCGGAGGGGCAAACCGCAGGTGTTGGTCCATGTTTCCACTTACCGATCGGGCAACCCATTTTGGTCCTACCCCCACAAACCTACCAACCACCGAGGTCCGTATTTCCCCCCCCAAGGAGTTGAAATTTCGGCCACAGTCCAGCAGCGGGGTTAGGTCGCCACGACGGCTTCCGCGCCCAAAAGCCCAGAAGCCCGCCTTTCAAGCACTCCCCCTGGAAGGTCAGGTTCTTGCACAGCGCCTGGGCGACGGACTGGTGCGACTTAGCTGAAGACTCGGCACCCGAAGCCGTCGAGTGGCAATGACTCGGGAAAATGAGGAGGAGATACCCAAGCCCGCCCTCAAGCAAGTGACCCAAGTGACCAAGTGGCAGACCTTTTGCTAGTGTTCCCAGATTCCGATCACAACGCAGCGTGGCTGTCGACTTTAGCATGTCGCAGGGTTTTGGGAATGAACCTGGAGATTCCTTCAAGGGGGACCACAAGGGATGCTTGGAACAAAGGTTGGCCATTCCAGTTCTCATTCCCTGCCCATCGGACAAACAAGAAGGTGTCTCCCTCGGTCGCGTTTCCAATTCAGCCCTAACCCCAAACCCAGTGAAAGAGTCCCAAGAACCATCTTCGGGATCGGCCCAAAAAGCGGATACAAGTGAATCACTCTTAGTGGGCTCAATGGACACCCGACCACTAACGAGAAACCGCCCCAAAACCCGCTGGTTCAACCGGAGGATTTGCTGGTTCCGCCGAGAAATCTGTCCGGTTCCTTGCTTCTTAGGGCTGGCGAACTAAAACTCACTTGCCCAAAGGACCCATCAATAGAAGGTTAACCTTTTGGGACCCCTACTAAAAATAGACCAAACAGGGAAAACCAAAAGGTCAAAAGGTCGGCTTTGAACAACTGAGAAAATAGACTCCTGAGGCTCCGAGTCATGGATCGAGGCCCTCTCTCCCAAAATCAGGGGATCGCAAAGGAACCAAAAGCCGTAAGCCATCTCAAAAGAAAAACAGGATGCGAGGGAAACCATAAACTTACCTGGCTCAAGGATTGAGAGGATTCATTCGAACAGTTTTTTTGTGTAATCCACCTGAAGATCCACCCCTCCAAAAAAAAAGCTGCTGGCACTAGCCATGTAGATAAATGGCACACTGCCATCCTCGCAAGAGAATCCGCTGAATCAGATAATGTGTTGTTACTGGCCAACATGCATTGCCTGGAAGGGATCCTGACACAGTTCTTTTCTTCAGCTGGCATGGTGCGGCTCTCACAATTGCTTTTCGGGGTGAGAACGGGTCACCCTCAACTCACAAGCACCATGTCACACAGTTACCCTTGCAGCCCCAACCCCACCCCGCCACCCGCCCCCTGCCCCAAGCATGAAAGACTGAAATAGTTCTCTTGGGAGAGGTTTCCGCCTCCAGAAATGGGAGAAAGAAGACCTACATCGACCTCTATACATATTTGTCCTTTTCGGGAGCAGGGGGTTTTGGGGGGGGGGGGGGTTGAGGGTTCTGGGTTGACGTTGAAAGGGGAGCAAAAGTTCAAATGTTAGCAGCTAAGTGGATTTGGATTTCCACCACTAAGCCACAAGAAGCAAAAATGTGGAAAATGCTTCCCGACGACCACCATGTCTCACTTTGAAAGGGGGCAAAGCCAGGCATTTCTTGTGGCCCAAAGAGGCAGACCTGGTGTCGACCTTCTCACTTGCCCAAAGGACCTAGAAATAAAAGGTGATCACCCTTTGGGGCCATGACTAAAACTAGACCAAGAAGGAAAATCGGAAAAAACCCAAAAGGAATCCGAAAAAGGTCGGTGTTGGGCCACTGAGCCTTTGGTCCCAACGACGCCTTCCGGAAGGTTCGGTCTCGGGGGCTCCCGGGAAAAAGAAAATCCCCTGAGGCTCCCGGCGGTGGGCGTGAAGCCCGTGTGCAGGAACCGGCTCACCGGGCAGCCCGCGGCGCTCTCCGGGGTCCTGGGGTGGTCGGTCGCTCGGCGACTGGATCCCCCCTACCATAAGGGGGGAAAAAGGGGTGGGGGGTCCCCAATTCCAGCTATCCTGTCAAAGGAAATGGAACCATAAATGGCACTCCAGGGGTCACCCCCCTCCCCCAATTCCATAGTTAAAGGGGTAGGGATGCGACTGGGCAGACCGGGAAGGGGTGCGTTGACCGGAAGGAGCGCGAAGGAAAAAGAGGCGACCCAACCGAACATGCCGAAGTCTACGGAGAGACCTGGGAAAACTGGGAAAAAAATAAGGGGAGAGACCAAGGGTCAAAATAGGGAAAGGCAAAAAAAAAATGGTACGTCCTGGTGGGCTGTGTTACTTTTTGGCAAGGATGTCCAATGATACTTGAATGTCAACTTGGTTCTACATCGTCTGGTCAAATCTGACTTGGATCATCTGGCAACTCTGCTTGAACAATACTGCACCTGTGTTGGTGCCAATAATCAGACTAATCTTCTAGAACAATAATACTGAGCCTTTCCATTTCAGTCGCAGCACTGTGTGCTACCAACATTTTGGGGACGGGATTCCAACGAAAAGAGGTCAATTTGGTGATAATCAAAATATATAAATAAAAAAAATCGAAATAGATGGTTGAAGGGCGATGTCCGTTCCCGGGAGGATCTGTTCAATCTTTAATATAAATCCAAAAAGGAAAGAACAGAAAACCCAGCATAACTTCTAGCTTTAGTTTGAAATACTAGCATAACTTCTAGTTCTATTCAAAACTCTTATAGCATTCCCTGTTTACGGAGCTGTCAATTAGGTTTGAGTCAGCATTCCTATTTCCAATTAGATGTGCATTCAATGATTAAAATCTAGTAGAGTTTCTGATTTCAAGTAGAACTTAAACAAGATCTCCTTTACGTATGTGTTTAAAGGTTCAAACTGGGTTTAAAAGTGGGGGTCCTTTCCCACTTTTATTAGTTTAATTGTCGATTGCAAAATTAAATGGAATTTGGCAGGAAATAGCTTTAGTAGAAACTATAGCTTCAATCAGAAGCTACATCGGACTTCCTTTTTACAGGATGTCAATTAGGTTGTAAATAGAAATATCATTTCAATATAGATGTCAAAGAGGTGTCTTTTTGCACGAGGATTCAAATAGGATTACTACTTCAAATTAGACTTTCAAGGGGGGTCCTTTCCCAGGAGGGCTGGTTCGATCTTCTAGCTCGGATTTCTGAAAAAGAATGCTAGCGGAATCTCTAATTTCAATTAATATTTAAATAGGCTCTTAAAATGAAAAGGACCTCAATTAGATTCAACTTGAATTCTTATCTCACTTGTCAGGATTTGTTTTTTGGGGACAGCCTCACATTTTGCAAGGCTGACCCCAGACAAGTGGGGATGTCCCACTACAAAGCAAATCTGCAAAGCCCCGGGCCTCAAAACAGAAGACTGACTGAGACTGTTCAGACAATACATCCCAAGCGGAAAAATGCTTGAAAAAAGGGCAGCCCCCCTACCAAAACCAAACCTTCCGAGCCCCCTATGTTTGAGCCCGAGCTCGAGACCTTTGGAACCCCCCAAGCCGAAGCGCTCCACGAAAACCCCACCCAAGGTTTGCACTTCGGGTTGCGGGCTCCGGGGTTTCGGGGAAACTCGCCCCGCTCAAAACCCAAAACCCGCCCTCCCTCCCTCCCTCCCCCCCCCAACCCTCCCTCCCCGCCCCCCCACGGGCCCCAACCAGGCAGTGTTGCACCAGACATCTCAGGTGCATCCGCATGCACTCCGCGCCTTTTTCTGGGCGTGGGATTGCCCAGTAGGATTGCTGAGGTGCCCTTTGGGTTTGCATGAAAGGCAGTGGGGACAACCCGAGTGTCTATCAATGCTTCTGTTGCCAAGGTGCAGGCGCGGTTTGTGAAGGAGTGCATGTGAAACGTTGTTTGCCACGTTATTGTGTCGAGCTTGTCCGGCTCAAAGCTCGGAGCCCACAATGCTGGTCTCTTTTCGTGTGAAGTGCTCCGACACGCGCCTGGGCTTCCATGTGCGTGTAGTAGGAAGCACTCCTGCGTTGGGAGCATGGGATCCCCGCGCTCTCACCACATCCCCGGACGACTTCCCTTTGTGGAAGAGTGCTGCACCACTCACAGTAGACGAGCATCTGCGACCACTGTTCAGTGGGAAGATGGCGCAAACCGCACTCTGTGTGTTTTTGAGGGACTGGCTCCTCCCAGCGTGCTTTCCATCTCGGAAAGCTGGATGACCTATGACCCAGACCATGTGCGCTTTGGGCACGGCCCAACCCTCCCTCCCCCCCCACCCCCAACCCTCCCCCCCAACCCTCCCCCCCAACCCTCCCCCCCAACCCCCAACCCTCCAGCCCCCCCACCCCAACCCCCAACCCAACAAAGCCCAACCAAGCCCAAGCCTTCAGCCAGCGGAAAAACCGAGGCGCAGCTCGTGGATGCCGTGGGCGAAGGTGCAGACGTCGCCCTTGAGGCACTTCTCGGGGCTCTGCAGCCAGTAGGTGCCTCTGTGTTGCTGTTGCCCGCTAGGTCCTCCAGTAGTAAAAGGGCACTACGCCCGGCTTTCCCGGCTTTTTTTCTCTTCTGGGCCTTGGGGAGGGGGGGGGAGTGGGGGGATGGGAGAGAGGGGAGTGGGGGGATGGGAGAAGGGGGAGTGGGGGTTGGGGGTGGGTGGGGTGTTGGGGGGGGGAAGGGGGGGGGAAAGGGGGGGGAGAAAGAAATGGTGATCTGTTTTTGCGACCTTGACCCAAGAAGAAGTGAAGTTGGCATCAACAAGTTCACTGGTTAAATCTGGCCCAGATACAAGAACTCTTCGCTTCCTCACCAGTTCTCTCGCTAGCCAGTAACAGCAACACCTCATGCAAGCCTTGATTTGTTTAGGATTTGATGCCGTTCAGAAAAGGAAAGCCTCCGGGTGTTGAGTCCGTGCGGGTTGGATCTTTTACCGCGGATTTGCTTGAACCTCTTGCACTCGAAAGCGGCGAGCCATCGAGCTTTGTATCCAAACTGGATTTGGACGTTCCAATGATTCAGAGCCATAGTCGCTCGCCTAGGCTCACTTGCAACCAAAGCCTTAAAGCGAATCGACCGGATCTCACGTTTCCCCGGTCATCCACGAAGTGTTGGAACAACGGTAAGCCGAGTCAACGTGAACCGCGGAGTTCGGTCGCACGACAAGGGTCACCGAGGTGCACATCCGCACAGGCTGCCGCTCGAAGGACCGCCTAGGCCAGTGCTGGGAGCTTCTTTCCCTCTAACCTTTCGGTGGTTGGCTGAGCGAAGCTCAGCGGGCAATCATTTTATGCGTACGACTTTGGAGGGTTTTTGGGGTTGTGCCTTTGTGCCTTTTTGTTGGGGGGGTGGAGAAAGTGGTGGGGCCAACGCCCTGCAGAAAAATACAAAAGGCGACTGCCTGCATTGAAACCATCTTCCAACAAATAATTATCTCCCCAGCATGGCGTTTCCTTGCTAGCAGAAGTTGTGTTTCTTGCGGCTCTTGCGGGGCTTGATTCCCGCTGGGCCAACCATTCCCCAAAACGCGCCCACACCTTCCTTCCTTTGCCCTGCCGGAAAAGTCTGACCTCCAAGGGCGCCAGCGCTCTTTGCACCCGAACACGTTCCGGGGCGCCAACAACCTCCCCCAGCCCCCGTACCCCTCCAGTCCAAACACTCACCCCATCGCAACCCAGTGGCGTCGCGAAGAGGTTGAGCCCTTTGCCCTTGCCCTTGCCCTGGTCGCCCATGGCGCCCATGGCGCCCATGGCGCCCATGCCGCCCATGCCGCCCATGCCGCCCATGGCCCCCATGGGGCCCATGGGGCCCATGGGGCCAGCCTTGCCTGACAGAGGGCGCAGCTCAGTTGGAGCGCAGCGGTTTGACCAAGTGTCCGAATCATGGGCCACCAACCCAGCATCGTTTGGACACTCCTCACAACGTGGTGCAGCTGAGTGAAAGAAGAAATGAGTGAATCAAGCATCCACCACTCCACAACAAAACAATAAATACGAGAGCCAGGTCCAAACCCCCCTTTTTCTAGGCTGGACATTTGGCCAAAAGAACAGAATTCCCTATAACTGGTGAGGGTTTGTAAATCAGGGGTCGGCACGACTCCTCCCCTCCTCCCCTCTCCCCCCTCCTCCCCCTTCCTCCCCCCTCCCCACCTCCGCCAGCAAAGCCGCCCTTGGCGAGGCCACCCTTTCCGGAGTGCAGCGCCAGCGCCAGCGCCGGCGCCGGCGCCCGCTCCTCACGGAGCCTTCCCAGCAGACCTGGCAGCTCCAAGCTGAGCAGCTCCCGTTCACCCATTCTTCCATCTGCTTGTTTCGCCCCCTGGAAAGAATGAGAACACATTTTTCCAGCAGTGGCAGGTTCCCTTTAAAGCCAACAAGGGAAAACCATCTTCTTGTTTTTTAGCAAATGGAAGCATTGGAACCCATGGGCAGTCCCCACCCCTTTCTATGAGGCGCGGCACTGGACCTGTGGCCATCCCTAGAGGGGGGAGGGCGGACCGGAGTTCAGCGTGCCCTCGCCTGTTGCGAACAACTTCTGCAAGTGCACGCCTAGCTCCCCCGACATCTCCGCCAAGCCTTAGCCACGCGGAGAGCGGGCAGCCGGCAACCTGCTATGGTTGAGGGGGTTCTCCATATCAGTGTGCTTTTGGGCTGTCTCAAAGGGAGACCAAGAGGAGGTAGCCCATTTGGGGGGTTCCTCTGGTTCTGTATGGCCACTATGCAAAGGGCGAAAAACCACTTGTCACCCTGGAAAGTAGTGTTGGTTGTTGACAAATTTGTCCTCTAAGGGCGCCCTTTCCCTTGGCTCACGCCGCTGCTAGACCAAGGTGAAATGGGCTGTGCCCGCTGCCCCTTGATGCAGAAAGGCTCGCTGGGCCCTTTTGAAAAGAGCCAGGTCTCACGGTAGGTGCCCTAGAATGGGGAGACACCCCGGGTTGAAGATATGTTTTCAAACCTCTGTGGCTTAAACAACCTATGGGCTAAGGGGCGATCCTGGTTCACCTCTCGCACCAGACGCCCAGACGCCCAGAGGCGTCTACCAAGGCCGGGCGGCCATGCGCAAAGGTGCAGTCGACACCGCGGTTGCACATGGAGGGGTGCTGGACCCACATTTTGCAGAGGCAGGCAGGCTTGAAGTTGTTCTCAAAGCTCCGGGGGCCCGCGCCTGAGCTATGCTCAGAAGCAGGCATGTTAGATGCAAGGGGATGCCTGTGGCAGCCCCCAAAGAAGCATCTTCCAAATAGGCTCATTTGTTGCGAATCCTTATGCAAACATGCTGCCCGTTCACTACCAAGCGGAAAACCGCCTTGCGTGACTTGCATATGAGCTTAGCTCCTGCCATAGAATCCAGGCTTGGAAACCTCCTGTGGGCTTCAAAATCCGGATTTTGCTTGCACGACAAACCCTCCCTGTGCGAAACAAAAACACCACTGCGGGTCCACGATCAGAATTGCGCACGTTCGTTAGAAACAAGCTCATGTCGTCCTGCCCCTCGGGCCGTCGAGACAGGCTCAGTCGCATTGCCAGCTTCCCTTTATGGAGCCAAGCAAACAAACATTTCGGGAAATGTTCATACTTCATAAATAATAATTCCTTCATACAACACCTTCTAAACCAAAAGCATTCCAAAACAATCAGCCAAGGGTGCCCCGAAGTTACGCGGCACGAACAGAAACAAAGCCTAAATGAAGCTGCAGGCATATTGCCCCTGAATGGTGCCGTTGCCAGCTTGCCTCTCTATAAAGCCGACCAGAAAGCGAGCGGTGTCTATGGTCATGTGAGTCATGATCAAAACCCGGTAGTAGAATTGTCTACCCAGTACCCTCCAATTACCCGGGTTTTGAGTGTGACTCATGTGTTCTTGCACATCTTGTTCAAGAAGAGTCCCAAAAATAATCAGATAAACATACCCCACACACACACACAATCAATCGTATGCTCCCAAAATGACACCCCAAAAACCAATGGTGTGGGTAAATAAATCCAATGGTCTGGGTCACTTCCGGAAATAGATGCAAATGCAAAAACGACATAGAAATGCAATCGCCCTTTTTGAGGTAATATTGTCAAGCTTCTTGAATTCTGATCCAAGCACGAAAGAAAGTCAAGTAGCATTGCCAAAAACAATCAGAGTCATGTACTGGAAGCAGATCCTGCTACAAAAGCACTTCAAACATAGTGCTGCCCTCTTACAGTAGTACTGCCAAACTTCCTGGAACTTGACTTGCATCCTTCCCAGAAGCCTCAATCTGCTCTGCCAATGACGGTACCTCACCAAAGTCTTGGTGCCAGCGCCAACGGTTTCAATTCCATGCCTTCGGGTTTGAATGCCAAAGCTCTTCAAGCCTGTAATTGCAATCTCTCGTAACTCGATGCCCTGAAGAAAAAAAACGGAAGAAGAAAACAAAAAAACACTCTCAGACTCGGGCCCCCATTTGACGAACCCCACCAAGGTGTGTCTTTGCTTTCCCTGCCACACCCAGAAGCACAACAGGCCAATTTCCGATGCCCATGACGCCTGCGGGCTGATTGGACGCCTGGGGCGCGCAAGTTCACCGAGTCACCGAGTCACCGAGTCACCGAGTCACCGAGTCACCGAGTCACCGAGTCACCGAGTCACCGAGTCACCGAGTCACCGAGTCACCGAGTCCAATCTGGGACCCTCCAACCCGGATGTGGGATAATCTTCCTCGGGTCTTTGGTGGACATGGGGGATTCATGTCCAATTTGATGGGATCTGCCCAATGCTAAAATATTCATAATTTTAAATATAGTACATAATTCCATGGGCCTCTCTGGGGTTTCGGGAAAGAGACAAACGTGCGCGGCTCCCTGGCAAAAGTGGAGAAACCCCCACCACAAAGGGGGACGCCCTAATGTTAACCCCGGATTAATAAATTAATAGTGTCCGTCCCCTTTTAGTGCGGATTTATCACTTTTGGAGGGGAACACTTTCAGTCAACATGAAAACCAGAAGCTTTGGGTGGCGGCGAGAAAATCAAGTTCCCACTGATTTAGAGTGGTGGTTTGGTGGTTTGGTGGTTTGGTGGTTGGGTGGTGGCGTTTCAGCCTTACTCCGGCCATCGAGATGCCCGGTTTCGCGCGAGACCAGGGACCGTCTCGGAGCACCGTGCTGCGCGGCTTCGCGGCTTTTCGCGCGCGGACTTTCGGCCCTAGGGCTTGGGGAAGAAGCACGCGTTTTGGGGCGCGGTTTCCAAAACTTCGATCCCAGAGCACCGATCCAAACCTCGACATGATTGACCCTTCAGCGGGGAAACCCACTGGGTTTGGGGTATGGAGGAGCTATGCAAAGCCTCCCTGGTCCAATCCTCAGCTTTTGTTGAGAAGGAAGCCTAAACTTCTTGATTGCTGTCGGCCCACCTGCAAGAAGCTTAACTTTTTGGGGGCTTAGTGACTAGTGGAAAACCCCTTCAGTTCAACCAAAAAGTTCAAGTCCAAAGATCCGTTGCCCAATGGCAGTCAAGACTTGGCTCTCCCTCCAAAACCAACGAGGCTCAAAAGTCCAGAGACCCAAAACCAGCATGCCGAAGACAGCCCGCTGGCTCGCAACTTCGCCACTTCGCCGACTCGCCGGCTCCAAAAAGCCCACGCCTCCGAGTGGGGAGTTCTGAGCGTCCGGACCTGCAAGGGTGGGAGGGGAGAACCCCCTCCACCGACACCAAAGGCTTAAGAACCCAAACCGACCCAAGTAAGGTGTCTTCAATCCAGCGGCTGGCTGGGTCATTTGACGAAAAACCCAGGCAAAAAGGAAGTTTCCGAACGGACCCATTTGGAAGACTTGATTCCATTAGAACAGGACAACCAACAACCTGGAGTCTCCTTCTGACCCTTTAAAAACGGTTGGTCATGACCCCTTTATTTTGGGTCTGTCTCGCTCTCTCTGCCGTTGCGTCCAGAGGGTCTTGACTCAGCAAGGCAACAAAAAAATCGCCCACTGATATTCAGGGGCACCAACCACATTGTTTCGAGTCCTGCCCAACCATTTTCAAAGGGTCAGAATCAAGACTCCAGGTACCTCTCGCGTGCTGTCCTCGAAGGTGTCCGCGATGCCGGCGTCGATCCCTGCAGCGTTTCTCTCACTCTCCTTGACCGGGGAATTCTATGAACAAATGGGTTCCTTTCGAACGCGGGAAAAAAAGAGGAAAACATATTGCTTGTCCTTTTGTTGCACTCAAAGGAACCGGTTTCTCAGGGTCCAATCAGGGCCAACTCCTATTTTCGCTCTCTCTCTCTCTCTCTCGCTCTCTCTCTCCCTCTGCTGCACATTGAAGAGGAGACCCTTGAAACTGTGCACGCCCAGGCCCAGCATATTTCTTCTGCCCCCTGAGCATTGAAAACAATGAGCGCCATGAGGGTACGGGAAAACTCCGCCATTCCGAGAAGCCAGATCTCAACTGAGCTGAGATGCCGCCATTGCCACCATCTGCAAGCAGCTCCTCAGCACTGTGCGCAAATGTGCAGTTGTCGCCCTTCGCGCAGTAGCCCTGGGTTTCCATGAAGTTGCCTCAGTAGTGCAACATGCTGCTGCGACCCGGCGAATGCCGGGCAACTACGCGCGAAATGTTCGTTGTCAAAGGAGTCTTAGACAACAACATCCAGCCGGCATGCCAACACATCGGCCCGCGGCCCGGTGACAACGCCTCGCCAGCTCAGTCCAGGCTGCACATCCGCCGCGGAACAAAGCCAAACGGGAAACGCTGAGGCCCAGCCTGCAGTCGAAAAACTTTCGGATTGCACGGACCGTTCAGCCAGGCCGAACTTGAAACCTCGACTCCATGCGGGCACGCCTGCGCAATCGCTTCCTCAACAGCTGCCAGCTCGTCTTGCGCTTCCGCGGGAAAATCTACGGGTGCGCCTGAGCCCCTCCGCTCATGACTCGGCCTGCCTCTCCCAACTCATGCTGCCTCCTGCACCTCATGCTGCCTCGTGCGGTTTTCGGTGAATCAGTATGGTTGGGCCGAGTTGCCATCATTGCCACTATCTCCAAACAGCTCCTCAGCGCTGTGGGCGAAAGTGCAGTTCTCGCCCTTCTGGCAGTAGCCCTTGGTCTCCATGTAGGTGCCTCAGTTGGTCCCGCAGGGTAGTCTGACAGGGCCCCGCTGGGCAGAAGACCCCAAATGAGGGACCCGAGCACTGCCAAAAAGTCCGGGCCGCACATCTTGCGCGGCACGAAGCCCGGCCGAAAGCGCCCGGGTCCTGCCTCCTGCGGGTGAGGAAGGGGAAAGCTGCAAGGACAAATGGGCGTGGTCAAAATTCAACCACCAGGATATGGACCGCAGGTTTTGGTCCATGTTGCCACGGGTTACCCCATTTTTGACCCACAGCCAAATTGCATGGCGGCCCGCTTCGCCCGCGCTTTTCCCTTCGAAGGCAAGGATTTCCCCAGGCACAAGGCGACAGGATTGCACCAAACGTTTCAAGAGCTTGGCAACTTCCACGGACAGCGCGTCCCAAACTTGCAACCTGATCGACTCCACGCCTGTTTAAAGGATTCCTGAAAAGCTGCCAGGTCGTCTTGCGCTTCCACTGGCAAATCTGCGGGTGGGCCTCAGCTACCGCATGCAACAACTAAGCCAACTCTCCGCTCATGACTCGGCCTGCCTCTCCCAACTCATGCTGCCTCCTGCACCTCATGCTGCCTCGTGCCGTTTTCGGTGAATCAGTATGGTTGGGCCGAGTTGCCATCATTGCCACTATCTCCAAACAGCTCCTCAGCGCTGTGGGCGAAAGTGCAGTTCTCGCCCTTCTGGCAGTAGCCCTTGGTCTCCATGTAGGTGCCTCAGTTGGTCCCGCAGGGTAGTCTCACAGGGCCCCGCTGGGCAGAAGGCCCCAAATGAGGGACCCGAGCACTGCCAAAAAGTCCGGGCCGCACATCTTGCGCGGCACGAAGCCCGGCCGAAAGCGCCCGGGTCCTGCCTCCTGCGGGTGAGGAGGGGGAAAGCTGCAAGGACAAATGGACCGCAGGTTTTGGTCCATGTTGCCACGGGTTACCCCATTTTTGACCCACAGCCAAATTGCATGGCGGCCCGCTTCGCCCGCGCTTTGCCCTTCTAAGGCAAGGATTTCCCCAGGCACAAGGCGACAGCATTGCACCAAACGTTTCAAGAGCTTGGCAACTTCCACGGACAGCGCGTCCCAAACTTGCAACCTGATCGACTCCACGCCTGTTTAACCGCTTCCTGAAAAGCTGCCAGGTCGTCTTGCGCTTCCACAGGCAAATCTGCGGGTGGGCCTCAGCTACCGCATGCAACAACTAAGCCAACTCTCCGCTCATGACTCGCCCAGGCCATACTGCCTCCCGCGCCTGCTGGCCGAGATGCCGGCGTTGCCAGCATCAGCTAGCAGCTCCTCAGCGCTGTGGGCGAAAGTGCAGCTAGCGCCCTTCTGGCAGAAGCCCTTGGTCTCCATGTAGGTGCCTTGCCGGCACGTGCTGATCTCAGAAAAAAAAAAAAGGGATCAGGAGATTCGCCCCACGCAAATTGCGAAAGTGCTCCCACAAGGGGGCACCCCTTTGTTCATCAACCACCGTGATTTCCCAAGGGAACTGGCCCACTGTTGGGGCATCTTTGCGCACCCAACAGGAAACCGGAAAATCAGCTTTCAGTGCCGCCTCCCAAACCAACACGGCGACTCAAGAGGGACCCCACACAACGCCATTCAGCCATGGCCGCACATCTTGCGCGGCACGAAGCCAGGCCGAAAGCGACCGGCGCCAGTCTCCTGAAAAAAATCGTGCATTCGTGCAAACAAGCCATGTCTTGGTGGCTCGAATCAACCAGCCATTTCTTGCTAACTTGCTTTCTTTCTTGCTCAGGTTTCGCACATGAGCCAATGGAGCCCATTTTCGCAAACGAGCCAAGGGATCCCATTTTTGCACGTGAGCCAAGGGATCCCATTTTGTAAATGAGCCAATGGATCTCATTTTGCAATGAGCCAATGGATCCCATTTTCGAAAATGAGCCAAAAGGTTCCATTTCGTGAATGAGCCAATGGATCCCATTTTTGCAAATGAGCCAATGGATCTCATTTTGCAATGAGCCAATGGATCCAATTATTGCACATGAGCCAATGGATCCCATATTGCAAACGAGCCACCAAAGGATCTCATTTTGCAATGAGCTAATGGAGCCCGGTTTTGCACATGAGCCAATGGATCCCATTTTCGAAAATGAGCCAAAAGGTTCCATTTCGTGAATGAGCCAATGGATCTCATTTTGCAATGAGCCAATGGATCCCATTTTTGCACATAAGCCAATGGATCCCATTTTGCAAACGAGCCAAAGGATCTCATTTTGCAATGAGCCAATGGATCCCATTTTTGCACATGAGCCAATGGATCTCATTTTGCAATGAGCCAAAAGGTTCCATTTCGTGAATGAGCCAATGGATCTCATTTTGCAATGAGCCAATGGATCCCATTTTTGCACATAAGCCAATGGATCCCATTTTGCAAACGAGCCAAAAGGTTCCATTGCGTGAATGAGCCAATGGATCCTATTCAACAGATGTAAGTTCAGAGAACCAGCTAGGTGAGGGCGGAAAAAAAAAAAAAAAAAAAAAACAGGCATCTTTTACCTTTCCCCCCCATCTGGGTCTGAGAGCGTTCTGGTGCGGGAAGTGCAGGAGAGCAGTTCCTAATGCCTCCCCAGCCACAGGGATGAGGGTGTTTCCTCACATAGGCGCCCGGAGCCCTCCGATTGGCAGGTTCTATTCTTGGCCCGATGCGCAGAAGGTGGGCACGTTCTAAGGCCAACGGGCACAAGGACACCACTGGGGCCCATGAATCCGTGCTGGACCACACGGGCGGCAGACGCAAATTCACGCTGGCTTCCCCCGACTTGACTTTCCCAGGGCTTGGGTGAGGCATCGGGAAAGACGGACTTCTGAAATCGAGACCAGCTGTCTCTTGATGCGGCCGAGAAGTTGCTGCTCGATGCCTCTTTAATTTCCCCGCCTTGATTGCCCACGACCCCCAAACCGCTGCTTCCTAGGATTTCTTGGTGGGATATACGACCGCACAACAAGCCACCATGTAGTTCAGGGGTTATACCCCGTTTCCACCCCCCCCCCCCCCGAATCCCGAAGGAGTGGTTTTGGGGAAGCCGTCAAACCCGCGCCTGCTGCTCCATCTTCACCTCTACCTCGCCTCAGCTTTCGGGAAGGCCCGAGGAACATGACCCCCCACCCCCGCCAAACGAATCTCAGTTGCCCAAAGGACCCATCAATAAAAGGTGATCACCTTTTGGGACCCCTACCAAAAATAGACCAAGCAGGGAAAACCAAAAGGTCAAAAGGTCGAAGGTCGGCTTTGAACAACTGAGGAATGAATATGGGACATTCCACTGCTTCAATTGGTATGCCATATGGTCCAAAACCTGAAATATGAATCAGATCCCCAAGTAAAGGATCCGAACCCATGGTGAGCTCGTTCTTTCCGGATCGGTGAGCTCACCATCAAATATGCAGAAATTCCATGAATATTCGTCAGGCAGTAGGTTCCCATCATGCTACAGGTCTTCTGCACTCCTGCGTTCTCTCATGGGCGACGTGTCACTCCCTCCTGTGCCAAATCTTGGGAAGGTTCTGCTAAACCCAGATTGACCACCCTTGCTGGGTTGGATGGGGTGTCTTTTTTCGGGCTTCATCACTTTTGGAGGGGACCCGCCATTTTCTTTAATGGACGGGCGCATCAACCTTCGCCCTTGTTGAAGGGAAGCCCTGCCTTCACCCAGGCCGAGCTGCGGGGGGTCAGCTCTGCGGCAGAGTGGGCGAAACTGCAGGCATCGCCTTTTTGGCAGAAGCCGGTGCTTTCCATCCAGGTGCCTTACACTTTGCCAGAGAAACCAGACACGACCGACAAAGCGTGCAAACGCGGTGCCAAAGCGAAGCAAGCTCACGGAAAACAAGCCTCCCAATCGAACTATTGCCCTTTCTTCGCTCCACGTTTGACGCCAGCCGGCAAAACACAAGGTTGCCGTGATTTTCGTCGGCTCGCAAAAGGGCAAAAATCGTGAGGAGGCCATATGCCACGTAGGCCTTCTTTGAATCAGTCTGACCGAGGGTGCTTTTGAACCGTTCCTAGGTGGAAGCGAGTCCTACCCTCCCACCATATCTTAGAGGGAGGACGAGGGAGGACTCCAGACAGGTGCCTTGTGAAATATTGTCAAACATGATTGAGCCCATCATGCGGTAGTTTATCTTAATGGGACCAACCCATTCCGTTTCTTTTCCCTGGTTGCCATATCCCTCCGGAAGCAGGGCTCCTAAAACCACCACCTGCGTTATGGGATCCTCTTTCCCCAACTCAGCTGGTCTCCCTGTAGATGTGGAGACCGGGCGAGGCCCAACCTGAACAACCTCGAGACTCCCCCCATTCGAGCCGCACATCTTCCACGGCGCGAAGCCAGGGAAGCTTCTTCCCTGCGGAGAGGCGGGCCCCTGCGGGCGGTGCCGGCGGTGCCGGCCCGGCCGGGCGGAGCGGAGCGAAGGTGTACACTGCCCAAGAGCTTTTTTTCGAGCGGAGGTGCGAGAAAACGCAAAACTTGGCTCTTTGCGACTGAAATGGTCCAAGCCCAAGAAGTGTTTGAAGTCCAGGAACACGGGAAGTGAACGCACCAAAAAACCTATGGGTTTGAGAGGGGAAAGGGCAAAAAACAAAAAACCTCTCGTGGCTGCATAGCCGCTCCTGCCAGGAAACCCCGGCTAGCTTTGAGGTAAGGAAGCCACCTCACCTTGACCCCAGTCGAATATGCTGGGATTTCGGGGGCCCAGACCAAGCGGCCAGCCCAAACATCTTGCTTGGCTCCGCGACTTCGCGCTGAACATGTCCATGGCGCCCTTTGGTGCATTTGAAGGGGCTTGACTGCTATGTTCAGACTTTAAGACGTTGGAAGATCAAGGAGTTTTCCACTAAACCCCCGAAAAGTTAAACTTTTTGCAGGGGGTTCAACAGCAACCACCAAGTTAGGGGCCTTTTGGGGCTCAAAAGGGGCCATAGCTTCTGATAGCGAATCTGATATCGCTTCCGCTGTCCGTTAGCACTGGGCAACGGAAAGGAAGAAACCCACATGCCGCGCTAGCATTGGCGGAAGTCGTTGGCTACAAGCGGCTGGTTGCCGGCAGCACGGGTCCATCAAAACGGGTTGGCTTGCAAGGTTGGCGATGGCATGGTCAGAGACAAGATTCGCATCCCTTTTACTTCGGCCCAGGGAAATCACATTGAATGAGACCCTTCCCTTGCCTCACCTCGCGAAGAGTTCGGGCTGGAAAACTCCCACCTCAACCATTTTTGGGTCAGACAAAGTTCCTGGAGAGCTTGCGTGACCCTTAGCCCAAATAAACATTTGTATATGTATATATGCATACATACATGCATAGATACATAGACCCCTCAACGCCCACCGTCCGCCTGCGGCGCAAGCATTTCCCCAGCACTGGCCCAACCTTCCGCATCATGCGGGCGGCCCCCACCTGAGAACCAGCTTCTCTCCAATCTGTCAAACTACCCTGTCCTCCCTCCCTCCCTTCCTTCCCTCCCCCACTTCACGAACTGTAAAATCTGAACTCAGCCATTGGCACTCGTCAAAACACGTCTCTTCCCCCCCCCCCCACCCCCCCACCCCACCCCCAGCGAACTCGCACCGAGCGGCCAACCACGGCCCCCAGCTCCTCAAAGCTATGGGCGAAGCTGCAGTCGTTGCCCCGCTGGCAGAAGCCCTGCGACTCCATCCAGGTGCCTTAGGTGCCGTGTGCCAAGCCCGTGCGCAGCAGGCGGTTTTTGGGGCCAAGGTCTTCCACATGGACCACATCCACTTCGAACCAGTTCATGTTGCTGTTTTTTTTTGGGGGGGGTTAGGCCCAGATACAGAATATATTTTTTATTGCTTGCTTCACTTTGAGTCACTGGCAACATGCAGAATGTATCCTAGGTCTACCCCAGAGTTGAACTGGGATGGAAAAAGGCCCCATGATTTCTGGGGTACACCACCTAGGCGCTGGTGCATGTCTTGTCCACTCGCATGCACAGCCTGGCATAGCCTGGGGCATACCGTTGGCTGCGAAATCCGCTTCTCGCACCACCAATCAGAAAGCCTGTAATGATGCGATTCCCCGGTAAATGCCAACCAACCATGGTTTCAACCACGGTTTCTTAGGTGGTGCGAAATGGATTTCGCAACCACCCACCTTATGTCACAACACAGCCCTCCAAAGAAACAAAAGGCACGCTCACCCCGCGCCATGTGCAGTCCAGGCCGCACATCTTCCGCGGCACGAAGCCGGGCTGAAATCGCCCATTCGCCTGCGCTAAAGATGGGAGGCGCGTGGAGGCGGGGTCCATCTTTGGACCACGGTACACCCAGACCCAGCTCTCCCAAAATGGGAAGATGTGCCAAAGATTGCCAAAGGGTACGAACTTTCACAGACCCCGGACATCCAAATTCGGCGATTCAGGGGGAGACCCACCCTTTGAGTAGACCTCAGCTTCTTGAAGTAACCCCCCCCCCCTGTCAGGGGTCGACAAAACTGCTTTGACCAGAGCGATTGCATTCGAGGTCTGCCCCTGACCAATCTTCCTCCCCCAAAGAAATTTATCATATGGCTGTGGCTCAAAAAACCGGTACCCAAATGGAACCCTGGAAAGTGGAACCATGGACCAAAACCTGCGGTTTGCCCCTCCGATCGTTTAATTTTGAGCCACACCCATATGTCAGCCAGGCTTTCCTTGAGTATGGTACCATTTTGGGGTAGGTGCACCACCCATTTTAGTCTATTTTATAGTGGGGATTGGGATGTTCACGGTACGGGGCTTGGACCCATGGCCATATCAGCCAGGCTTTCCTTGAGTGAACCCCCGAACCTGGGCCAAGCCGATTCCTTTCCGCCCTTTCCGCCCTTTCCGCCCGCCTCGGGCCCGGCATCGCCGAGAGCCTGGAACGCTTTGCCAAACCGAAGACATTTGCGCCCGCACGGGGCATCGGGAAACGAAACCGCGAGCTTGTTAAAGGAATACCCCCTCCTGGTCTCCGAATTCGTCCAAGTAACTGGATTTCCTCTTAAGTTGATCAATTGACTAGTGACTAGTGGTTTCCATTCAAACCATCGCCACAAGTTTCAACAAGGGAAATGGAGGACACCCTGTAAACACACATTCGACACAAAATTGGGTGCCGTGGCTCGCTACATTGCAAGCAGTCCGCCTCAACATCTTGCGGGATTGCTTGCGGCTTGGCTTCCAGCCGCTCAAAACAACCCAGGAAAAACCATCACCTAAAAGACAAGGGTCTGGTCATTTGGAAGCTGTCTCCAAAGGTTGGGGGGCGTACTTCAGGGTTCACATATATTCCCAAACAGCACCCCAATAAATGACCGAACTTAACATTGACAACCAAAAGACGTTCCTGGGCCTCATCGGGGGCTCGAGACCTCTAGCCGGGCCCGCGAACGGCATGGGGCACCATGCCTGGCAACTCGTCGGCGCGATCTTCCGCTTCATCAGTTTGCCTCGGCCCCAGAAAAAGGTGCGGTCCGGAACCGGCCAGCCTGGTACGAAGGTCTCGCCTTTTGCTGTCGACTGGGAAATGCACGCAAAATGTCCGGAGACTTCCAGATGTCCAGCCCCTCACCCAAGCACTTCAAGGCGAGGAAAACAGGGGCTCCGATGCTGATGGACATAGACAAGTCCGCAGAAAGGTTCTGATGGAAGGTTCTTGGAAGCATGCCAAGTGGCAGCTTCACGCCCTCTCCGTAGGCTGCAACGCTGCGCTGATATGTTGCTGATACGTCTCTGACATCTTGCTTATCATCAATAAGGCTGCAAATTGTTTGATTCAGAGCCCCTCTGGATATGATGGCTAAGCGACTTGTCCGGCCCAATGCGCTGGCTCCTTTCGTCCTAACTTCCCCGCTGGAGCCAGTTGGGCAGCATCAGGCGACACTCCAGCCGGCTTGCGGCTGCAAGAGCAGCCGATAGGCAACATCTCAAATAGCCATTCGGATGCGGGCGTTGGCCCTGAATTCGAATTCGAAAAGCGTGCTTTAAAAATCCGATGCTCCCCCAACTTCCAACCCACAAAACATCGGGGGGAAAAACAACAAACAAACAATCGCCTTGGCTGCGAGTGCGCATTTCCCAACCCCCGCCCCCCCATCCACCACCACCAAAACAAAAAGAGACCGCCCAAACAAAAACTTACCCCTTAAAACTCCAAGCCCTGGGGAAGTTTTCATCTTTTACAGACATCTAGCCCATGTCACCCCCAAAAAGTTGAGAAAAGTTGTGTTTTAAAGAGGTAAGAAAAGAAACACCACGAATGAGACACAGCGCCCAGGCGGTCTCCCCAGCCCAAAAAATCCCTTGGCTCCGACCCCCCCGATCGATGCTCCACATGCCGAGGCCAGCGGGGTCAGCTCCACGCCCAAGATGTCTTCGGCCTGCAGCGCGGGGGGGGGGGGGGGGAAGAAAAATGGGCCATGGGGCGCATAACCTATGGCGATCCCATGGCCGAGTGGATGGCCCAACAAAAGTAACCAAACTTTCTATTTACCACTAACATGGTCTTCCCAAAAAGGTTAAAGTTCATGAACCCAGGAAGTGAGATGGCGATCCCATGGGATGAACATCCACTTGCCGCCTATTTTTTGATGTTCACCAGGGGTGTTTGAGGGTGTTGACCCATAGCCACATCGGAAGAGAGCCCGGAACACTTCAAGAGCTTAAGCCCTGGCGACGTGCGTCGGGAGCCCTTGGGCGTGTCAAACAGTTTTTTTTATCCTCGGGGAACCTGCAGAATGGCGGCCGTCCTTTTGGCTTCTCTTTCGACCGACCCCTAAAAGGGCACCCTCAACCAAAAGACACGCCCAGTTGACTTCCCGGTGCCAGCCAAAAACCCAGGCGAAACGAATTGAAACATCACCTGAAGCGATGGCGTTTTTTGGCACCAAAGGTCGCACCGGGACCCTGTAAGAGAAAAACGACGCATACCGCCCCTCAATCATAGGATTCAGCAACCTCTCCCCTTGCCCTCCCCAGTTTCTGCTTTACTAGTGCCTTAGCTTACACCAAAGGGCCGACAGCTGGCCCAATCCCTATGGAACAACAATATGGAGCACAAACAAACACGGGGAAACACGGGGGAAACCAAGAACCCTGCCAACTTGCAAAGTGCAAAGTGAGCTTCTTATCTTGGTTGCTGGTGGGCCCCCTGCAAAAAGTGGATCACTTCTTGGGGGGTTCGTTCGGAAAACCCAACTTCGTTTCAACCAAGAAGTTAAAAGTCTAAAGATCCGTTGCCCAGCACTCAAGGTCTTGGAACTGCTCGACATACGGCTATGGGTCAAAACCATGGTACCCCGGTGAACACCCAGAAAGCCTTCTAAAAAAGGCAACAGAGTGGTAACCATCCCCATGTTTGGCACCTTTGACCCACAACCATACCACCCCTTGGGGCCTTGGAACTCGCTTCACACCCGCGCAGCGGAACCTCGCCTGCCGGCCCGCCGGCTTCGGGGACGACTTCGCCGCGGTGCGCCGACACGGCGGCCCTGAGGCGAGGCGCAAGGCGAGGAAGGGCGAGGAGGGCGAGGAGGGAGAGCCAGGGGAAGCGGCCGGAATTCAAGGCGGAATGTATGGGACCTTGGAGCCAATGTATGGGTCGATTTCCCATAAGCCATAACTAACAGCCCCGTAGCCCAGAAACTAGCCTCAAAAGTGGTTGGTGGACATAAATCCCCAGCTACATGATGTCCACCAAAGTGTCCCTAACTAAAAATCACACACATATGGACACATACATTCAGCCTTTGAGTAATACTGTGGGCCAAATTTATGGCAGGCATCAGTGCGAAAGTGGTTTATCCCACAAGGGCTTCATCTAGCCCAAAAAGTGCAGGAACTTATCCCCCACAGTAGGGCTAAACAATGCATGGGCAAGCTGTATATTATGACAGGTCCGTTTGTAGGTGGGTGTCACAAAAAGGCAAGCAAGGAAGGTCCGAATCTCAAAGTAGGAGCGAGCTAGATAAACCTAGGCAATTTCGAGGCGTCGCCTTCCCAGGGAGAAAAAAGGCAGGCTGCCTCCTGAAGTAAAACTCTGTTGGACACAGGGTCATCCCGGATAGCTGGAAGGATTCTTGGAGTTGCTTAGAGTCGCCCGCGGAAAGGTCTGTAAATCAGTCGATGTTTTTCCCTGCGAGCTATGGTGCTTCGGCTCTAGCTGTCGACATTATTTTCTCGAATCGCCGAGGTACGATTTCTGTGTTTCTGTTTTTCAGGGAGGCTGTGCAACAGTGACCGCGCGGGTTCACGCGACAGGCTACTCCTCAACTCGTGCATTGTGCCTCTTGAACATGCCGTTGAGTCGGCTGACTCACCTGCGTTTGTTTGACAGAAAACTTAGCAAAATCAACAATCTTCCATCTTGGTGGTTCATCCATGAAAGTGCAAAGCAAAATAAATCCGTGGTTGATCTATTTTGGTGGCCGGTGAAACAGTGTGTGGTTGATCTGTTGTTTTATGATCTGGTCGGAAAAGGCGGGGTGTAAACATCCAGTTGCGGCACTACCGCTGCTTAATATGGGTGGGCCGTTTTGGGAACCCCCTTATGGTGGTTGGGAACATAGTTCCAATAGTGATGACACAAAAGAATTGCTCACAACTAAATGGATGGATTTCAATGGGTAGAATCCACAAAACTGTTCGAAGCTTACACTATGTTGCCCGGGGTTGCCTCTATATGTCAAAACCAAGCACCTACTTCTTGGGCGTGCCTTCAAAGGGAAACCAAAAATGAGGTCGGCTCCAAGCAACTGCGGCTGAACAAATGCTCAGATACAGACGGGCAGCCCCTCGGGTACGTCCCCCTTTGACACATACCCGTCTGCGAACTTCCCATCCCTTTTCCTGCCACGCCTGGCGCCTCTTTGGGCGCGGGGCGCTTCCGAAGCCTCCAACATTCGCGTTCGCGGTCGGCGTTGTTTTTGTTGACTCCATGTTTCAAGAGAATCCACCTAAAGGGGTTCCTCCATTTGCTTAAGTCCCCCCCCACAAAAAGTGGGGCAAGAATATGGGATGATTCAACCAAAATACGCTGGAGTTGTGCCACCTGCTTTCACCCAACTGCACTGGCTCAACAAAGCAAGAATGAGGGAGGAGAGCCCCAAAAAAACCGAACGTAAGCTGGTGTGCTTTCTTCGAGCTTGTGATTTGTGTGGTTTCCAGGTTTCACCCCCGTGCCACTCATCGGATTCCTTTTGTACCCTCTGGAACCCTCCCTGAAGTAGCTTTCAGCTGGGGAAGACCTTCTGGTGCTCAGGGACTGAGGGACTGAACCTGGGACTTCCCTTCCAGGTTCAACCATCGCGGAGGGTATCTAAGGGTCATCCCTTAATCATTCCTCGCCCGTCGAGCCAGCAAGCCGGGATCGATCCCCTTCGGCCCTTGCCCTTGCCCCCAAAAACGAAAAACCAGAACCGGGCGAGCCACGTGCTCCAAAGCCCGGGTAGAATGAGGTGAAATAAGGTAGAACCAGGTGAGCCACACCGAAAAAGAAAAACAAGAACCATGTGAACCATGTGAACAAGGGCCAGTCCCTCCAAGAAAAGGAGAGGGAGAGGGAACGGCCCTTCAAAGCCCGAACTTGGACTCCAGGCGCGTGTGTTTATATATATATATATATATGCATATTATGTATGTATGAATCACCCGGGCGAGGCCAGGCCGACATGGTGGCTTAATTGGGGATTGCCGTTTTTTGGTGGCATTAAAAAAAACAATGGCGAAATGAATTCCCTGTAAAACCAAAAGGGCAACATATGTTATTCGTATTTTATTTTTTAGTTGTTTATTCAAAAAAAATGCAGACAAGCAAGTAAACAAGAAAACAAGAGCTAAGTAGGGCACCCCTGAGATCCCCGCCTGACGTCCGGCTCAATCCACTTCCTCGGCTCCGCCTGCTCGGCTTGCATCGGCTCTGCTCACGGAATCCGGAAGAAGGCGGCGGAGGAGGAAAACCAGACTCGAAACAAACAATTACCCTCCCACCAACTAACATGGAAGTGCAAAAAGGCCCTTTCCAAGACGAAAGTAGTCTTTCTACAGGGGTCTGTGCACTTCTATGTTAGCTGGTGGGAAGGTAGGAGCTTTTCCCCCAAACAAAAACGAACACGCCCCATTTCTATCGCAGGGGAAAGGAACCAGGAGCCTCAAAACGGCTACCATATGACCCAGCACAAGTGCTTTTCCACAAAGGTGGGAAGCAGGTTGCCGAATTTCCCTGCTGTGTGGCAGTGAAAGGGGAGACTTTGTACCTTCCGACCAAAGTTCTCGTGCTTTTCAACAAAGCCCCCAGTTCAACACGCCGTGTTTTGTCCCAACCTCCGCTCGCTTCCAACTTTTACCAGGGTAATTGCCTGGGCTGCGAGAGATTCTTCTAAACATGAGGGCTGCTCAAGTGCCATGTGAGCTTTGGTGCAAATCAAGCGGGTCTCGCAGTTGGG